CGGGAGCATTCGATCCGCTTCCGGAGTGGTACTCCTCAGCCGATGGCAGTGGCGGCACTCCATACGCCAACCGGGACACGCATAATATGGTTTGTCGCCAGCATGGCCGATCTGACTACCTCCGGCCCTGTGCGGTCGGGTAGCCAGGCGAGCGTCGTCCTCAGGCCTCACGCCTCCGAAGCGAATATGCGAACTCGATTTGGCACCACCAACGGGTCCTCGGCGAGCCTCGCTGGCCCGGCGCCTGGCCTCGGAGCCCGATTTGGAGCGAACAATGCGTCTTCGACAAGTCTGGCGGCTCCGGCACCGGGGTTTGGTGCACGATTTGGTGCCAACAATGGGTCTTCGACGAGCCTTGCCGGCCCCGGGCCCGGGGTCGGATCGCGGCCGGGAACTGCAAACGGCAGGGTGAAACCGTGGGTCAACCCCTTGGATGTCCATTTCGCAAGGGACATTCCCTCCGGTCCGTCCACGCCCAGATCTCCGATGGTCGATTCCATACACCTCCCTCCAACTCCTACCACGGACAATGCGGAAACGGGGTCGGTGTTTGGCGAAGAGGCGGACGACATGGTGGACGCTGTCATGGCCTCAGTCAAGAAGCGGGAGCTGGAGGAGAAGAATGCTAAGAGGAGGGAGAAGGAATTGGAGAAGGAAAGGGAGACGGCTCGGCTAGACATGGAAAGGTTGGAGAGACAAAAGTCGACCGAGAGCACTTCTGACAGCTAGGGGGTTCCCTCCGCTCCACATTCGCCGTTGGAGCCACAGCAAAAGCCTTTCGGAGGAGCTGGTATTGCGAGGTCCTGTGTTCAGAGGTGACACGGACATGAGGCCTGGGAGCCGCAACGGGACAGCACAGGCCCCCTCGTGGCACCAAGGGCCGCCTCCCACGGGTCCTCCGACACAGTGTCTTCCCCAGCCCCCCGGCCAGGGGCCACCACGCCAGGGACCACTCGGCCCTGCTAGTGAATGTCGCAACCCCCGGCCTTCCCGCCCGGCTGCCAATGGGCCCGGGCCAGGACCCGGGCCTGGGCCTCGACTGAATGGTCCCGGCCCCCAACAGTTCCGCCCTAAAGGCCCCTCTCCTGGCCCTCCGGCGCAAGGTGGCCACTCTCGCCCCCCGGGTCCTACTCCTCAGGACACTCCGGAAAAGGTCTTTCGTCCTTACCGGCCACCCCCCCTACAGGGTTCGGGTCCCCTAGCGAATATGGCAGGCGGTTTCCGGTCACCAAGTCCTCCTCATGGCGCTTCCGGTGCTAATGGCTTTCGCTCGCAAGGTCCTGCGCTCCGGAGTGCCGCTGTTCGAAATCCGCCTCCCATTGAGCACCATGCTACTGCCGTGTTCAGTTCGGAGCCGGAAGCACCTGGGAGCAGGCGAGGCACGCCAGGCCCGGAAAGGCCAGGACTGGTGCCACTGATATCTTCATTGACCTCTCCCTCCACCGTGACATCGCCGTCTGGCTCAATCCGGAGACTCTCCGTCGACGACGACTCGGGGGAGCAGTTTGTGCGCCCCCTGATTCAGAATGTCATCGCAAAACGCGATACTCTGACGTCCAAGACCCCTAGACAGCACAGTCTCTCGATGAGGATCGAAGAACTGGAAAAGACACTCCTAAGCGCGCAGCATGCACACCCAGTGCCAAAACTACCAGGGTCGGTAGACAATAGAACCAGTACGAGCAGCAGCGTCTACAGCGACGTGATTAAGGACGATCATGACGACGATGATGACGATGGTCCAATCCTCTCCATCCACCCAGCGCCACTCCGCATCATGTCACCTCCGGTTCCCCGCGAAATGCCCCTGGCCCTGCCCCCTTGTACTACCATGTCACCTCCGGCTCCTATTCCTGCGGCTATCAGCCGGCCGCAAAGCCCCATGCGGGGTCCACCGAGGCGGGGACCACTGCCACGCCGGCCCGGGCTGGAAGAGTATGGCGTGCCTAGCAAAGTAGTTAATAGTCGTGGCGGGACGCCCACCCCCGCCTCGAGGAGTGGTAGCACCGACAACTATAGCTCGCACAGCTCCCCGCCCTCGCGGACGAACACGCCCCAGCTCCGGCATCCTAACATTAGGCGCGACTTGAGTCAGCCCAGTCCGGCGCCAACGGTCGACACACTCGAGCGACCACGCCCGAACCCTGTCGTTGATACGGGTTTCAAGTTCGACTTCGGCCCCAGCCCAGGGGTTATCGGGCCACCCACCCCGGACTCGACCACATGGTCGCTGGCGTCACCAGGCGGCGACGTGGGTTCGACGCTGCCTCCCCCAACCTCAGACCCATCCCAGGCACAGGTGAAGACTGAGGCATCGGCCAAGTTTACCCGCTCCAACGTCCCGGCGCCACTCAATTTGAAGTTCAACTTCTCCCCCGACGCGCCGTCGCGTGATCCGACCTTGGGTAGCCCTGGCGGACTATGGACGCCGCCCATTCGGTCGTCGCCCGCCGCCGGAACAACGATGGACGGACGGCCATCTACATCTAGCGGCCCTGGTGGACCAACCAGTGGTGGCGGGCTAGCCGCCTCCCCAAGCTTCCTCTCCAAGTTTCCTGCTGACTTATCCGGGTACGTCGACGATGACTCGGCGGCCTTCATGGGGATCGGCATGGCGCGTGGGCCCGAGTATTAGAGACGTCAGGAGACCGAAGACGTCAGGAGGGACGAAACCGAAGGCGGGAACGACGGATTCTTACGGGACTGGATTTATCTGAAGCACTCGTTATTCCCACACAATCATTTTCCTTGCGTTACATAGATCATTTGTCTGATACCATCTTTCCTTTCTATACCCCATCTACCAAGATTTTCCACTGTTACCTTCATAAGCATATCAGGATAGAGTTTACACTGGATGACACAAATGGTCAATTCATCGCATTACATGCTATCGCTTCAAACAGATGACCTGCCTCCAAAAAGGGGTATAACGCCAAACAAAATGACAACCATCACCACCCCCATTCTACAAACCCATTCTATCCCTTCCCCCCAACCCCTACCCTACCACCTCTCACCTCTCTCACCCCAAAAACCCGCGCACCTGGCCCCCAACCCCCTCCACATCCAACAGGAAGGTGTCGTGCCCGAACAGGCTCTGCACCTCGCTCAGCTCGTGGTGCTCCACCTGCGCGTTGCCCGCCGCCCGAAGCGCCTCGGCCACCTCGCGCTGCTGCCACGCCGGGAACAGGATATCGCTTGCCACGCCTAGCACCAGCACCGGGTGGGAGCGCAGGACGCCCAGGCCGGCGATTAGGTCCGCGGGGGGGGTTGGTGTGCCCATGCCTGGGGTGGTGGGGTTGGTGGTGCCGGGGGTGGGGTCGGGTTGTTGGGGTTGTTCTTCGTAGGGCTTGTCCGGGAGCGTGAGGCTGCAGGTTCCGCCGCCGGGGGAGGGGTCGTTGGGGGAGTCGGAGGCGGAGAGGAGGGCGCGCTCGGCGCGGCGCGCGGCCGTGGCGAGCTGGTTCGCGCGGCCCAGATCGAACAGGTCCATCGCTTTGCTGACGTAGAGGAGGCTGTTGGGGTCGTAGGTCAGGCAGAACTTTCTCGCCGGCGTGGTCCAGGTAGGTCTCGACGAGGAAGTCGGGGCACAGCGCCGGTGGCTTGGACCCGTCCGCCCGCCGCCGCCCGAACCGCTGCTCCCATTCGGGGCCGGACCGGTAGGTGATGGTGGCGATCTCCCGCGCCAACTTCATCCCCACGTGGGGCGGGACGCGCCCGTAGTAGAAGCCCCGGTTCCAGTTGGGGTCGTTTAGGATCGCGCGCCGTTGGACGTACCGCATCGCGATGCTGTAGGGGTGGCTGCGCGCGCAGGCCGAGATGCTCACGATGCGCCCGACCCGGGTGGGGAACTCGACGCCCGCGGCCAGCGACTGCATGCCGCCCATGCTGGAGCCCACGCTGGCGTGGAGGGTCTCGACGCCGAGGTGGTCGAGCAGCCGGAACTGCGCGCGCACCATGTCCTGGATGGTGAGGATGGGGAAGCGGGTTGCGTACCGCTGCCCGTCGAGCGGGTCGATGCTGGACGGGCCCGTCGACCCGTAGCACCCGCCGATGACGTTGGTGCAGATGACAAAGTACTTGTTGGTGTCGAGCGCCAGGCCGGGGCCGATGAACTTCTCCCACCACCCGGGCTGCGGGTTCTCGGGGGTTGAGTGTGCGTGCGACGAGGCTGAGAGTCCCGTGTGCAGCAGGATCACGTTGCTCCGCGCCGCGTTCATCTGGCCCCATGTCTCGTAGGCGATGTCGAACTCGTGCAGCTGGCCGCCGTGGTCGAGGAGGAGGGGGTCCTGGCAGCGGTAGGTCTGGGTCGCGCCGACGGTGTAAGATGGTTCCGGGCCGCTTTTGTCGGAGCGGGTCGAGGCTTGCTGCTCGAGGGTGGCCGAGCGGGTTTCGAGGGCGTCGAGGCAGGGGAACTTGATCGCGGGGTTTGAGGGTGCGCCGCTACGGCGGGTAGCCTGGCCGTGGAGGTATCGCGCCGCATTGGGGCAGGCGGGCTTCACGGTGTGGTGGTGGACGGGCCGCCGGGGCACGGCGGCAGTGGTGAAGACGGTTTTCGCATGTCGCAGGGTCGATGTCACTCGCTGCGACTTCATGCTGTGTGTGTCTGTTTGGCAACAAGAAGTGCCGGTGGGTGGATCAAGGACTCAGCTCGGCTCTGATATGGTAGGTAACCTGTAATCCAAGAGCTGCACATCAATTGTCGTTGTGGAGGGAGGGATATATTATGGGCGCCGGGACCCTTGCTGGGGCCGTTACCGGCGCCGTGGGTGTATTTCCAATTCACTGCTTCGGTTTCGTCCGAGTCTCCGTTTTGGGGTATTTCGCCATTTCACGTGCCTTCTTGGCATAAATGCTAAGGTAAGCGAGTGACAGCCCCGCTTCGACCCCTGTATCGTTTCAGCTCTTGGCGGATTGTGGGGTGATGTCATGCCCCACGCGTTCAACTCCCACGATGTCTTACAAGTACAAGGCACGAGCTATCAACGACGCTTCCCATTGCTGCCTGACCAGTTACTTTTGGAGAGCAAGTGCCTTACCTCTCGCTTCTATACAACACGGTATTCCTGAATTTTCACCAACTGCCAGTCTTTTTTATGACCATCGACGTAAAGTTCACGATTACGCTCGGCGCATCACTTCTCGCTTGTTACTTGTATCCAATCTGGAAATCAGGGAGAATGTCCACAACAGGCTCTAATGCAGCTGCCACTAGCAGTGCTGGGGGAGGTCGATATGACCCTAGCATCGTTGACGTTATCGTCGCCAAGGCCATGTTGACCAAGGCTCTCACTCTACCTCCTGAAATCATCGACAAGATTGTTGACCTCGCCGAGTACTGGCCACACACTACAACCGAACTCAATGGCACTACCGTGATTGCACGGGGGAATAATACCACTCTTGGGAGTAGCCGCACTGGGGCTGAAGATATGTTCCTAGTATGTTTACCCCGTGCCCCGTTGCGGCCTTTGTCCTCTAACTTTGCAACGTGCTGATTGACGGTTTCCCGGCCTAGCTTCGCTCCGTTCCCCTTGGGTTACATAACTGGAAGCGCGTCTCTCACAGTACCGACGATTCGGCGATTGAAAGAACACTACTGAAACCGCAGCCGCCTGGGGAAGAGTACTCGGCCGATGACTTCCAGCAGCTTATCGCATCGCCCATATCGCTACTCGCACAGCCATGTCGTCGCATCGTCTTCACCATTCGTAGCCGTGACCAAGGCTGGGGCGGCTCTCGAGACGACCATGGTACATACCACGGCTCATGGTCATGGTTCGAAGCTGGGTTGGAACGTTGGTGCAAAACCAGTCCCGCCCAAACAAGCTCGCCAGAGCAACCAGACCAAACGGAACAGCGGCTCCAAGAACCATCCCTGAAGCTGGACGACTTGTGCACCGTGATTCCAGAGGTGGAGTGGGAAGGAGAGGTCCAAAACGCGTACATCTTCAAGCACGAGCTTCATCCGTCCGATCAACTCAAGGTCCAGTGCAATCTGACAGCGGAGAAGGAAAGCCCTGGAGCACCGCGTGGTCTGGAGTTACACGGATGACGTCGACCCAGAGCGCGATGTCGAAGCTGCGACCAAACTCGAAAGACAGGGCCGAGGAAAGGCTACAGGTACCGGCAAATTTGTCCGCGACCTCAAATTGGGTGATGTTGTGACCCTCTGGTCCAAGGCGAGATTCCCTTCCTGGGCCAATTTCGTCGAGTCGGCCAAGATCGAGGTCTATTATGCTATTTGAGCATGTGCTTAGCACTGGCGTTTAGGTAAACGCATGGTTTCCTTTACTGCAATCTAAGACCTGGGTTCGTCAACATTACTCGGGGAATTGCGTTGCCTCGGTGAGACATGCATGTCTGTATCGGTTGGGTAGGACGAGAACGTGACAAGACACAGTCAAGTAGTAGATCATAGTCCGACCACATGCCACTTGGCAGACAAGTCTCACTTCCCTTCCTCCAGCCTCTCCAATTTCTCGCTCCGACCGCTACTTTACCCATCACTCCTCAGCTCTAGTCGATCGAGCTCTGCGTATCGGCAAGGCCATAGCCGTCCCACCTACCAGCTTCACAAGCCCTCAATTTGTGAGAGTGTGTGTTTAAGAGAGAGTGTATGTGTGTGTGAGCGAGAGACAGAGAGAGAGTTCTGCCTCGGTCAGGCCCACGTAACAAAACCGAGTTGGGTGGTTAGGATTCCGGGATCATGGAAGGTTTGGGTTCTAGGCCAATCTAGAACACGTAGCAAGTGCCAAAGAGGCTGGGCATGATGGGCGGCGGCGGGGTGGGAATTTCTGGCCAAAGTACATTTCTTTGTTCCACTCGAGAGGCGAGTCATGGATACCATACCATGCACAAGGCGCCAAATCAGACATCCACTACCGCGAGATTGGCGTCTCGCCAAGATCTGACCGCAGATGACGGTCTGCGGGTGAGGCTCCTAGACAAAGCTTGTTTTTCGACGGCCCAGGGATGAGCCAATGAGGTCGAAAGAGGTGATTGCTTCACTCAGTGGTATTCGTACCGTCATCCAACATGTATTTATTCAGAGAGCGATACTTCACGCACTTTAGGAGCGGAACACAATTCACGCCACCAGGGACAACACACTAAGAATTTTCCATTTTCATTCCTTCTGTCTGTATTCTGTAACGTGGGGGTTATGGGTATGGGGTATGGGGTATGGGAAGGGTATGGTATGGCATGGTAATGAACAAGTCTCTCTCTTTCCCTCCTCTCATCATCCTCTCTTGCCATGTTTTGTTCCGCTGCGCGCTCCGTTTCGTTTCTCTCGATACAGCAAAAACCAGACCAGAACCAGACGACCAGACAGTAAAGAACCAGAACCATGGTATCCCGTTCTATAAAGCCCATGATGCACACAAAAACATATGAGACACTGAAAGGGGGCAAAAAGGGGTAAACATAAAAACCCTGGCCCTCTCTTCTCCCGCAGTAGACCGACAACACAGACGCAGCCGAATACAGGTTGGTGAACCAACCAACCATCAACATCTCTTCCACTAGGATTCTGCTGCCCAAACACCCCTCGACCATGAACCTGAGCCGCGCCGAGTTGAATCCCCCTCCCCCCCGCTTTGCGATGCCCGGAAACGCCATGCCATCTCTGTCCGTACCACCATCAACCCAACCCGTCCATTTCTCATCGCTGATAATCCTAACAATGCTTCGCTTCGTCCCACCTCAGCGTGAACGTCCGCTTGTCGAGCTCGGCCGGTCGACAGAGATCGTGACGCTCTATGATTCCCGGAATTCCCATGACTCCCGCGATAAAACCCGCCGTGCCAGGTATGGCGGGCACAAAAGTGGCCCACTTGCCCATACTGAACCGCACCAACTCCTCCCCGAATTCGGGACAGGCTAAACTCCACAACGCCAGCCTTAGATGCGCGCCCATACAGTAGCGGGCTCAAATCAGATGACAAGATCCTGAAGAATCAAGGCAGCTGTCCAATAACGCAAGAGCCCTCAAGGCATACAGAGAGGAAGACCTTGCAAACTGGTGGATCAGAGACTGGAGCCGTGGACACTGAGGTATCCAAGAAAGTCCACCCAGCCGGCCAGCCAACCTGAAAGCCCACCCCTTGGCCTGGGTTGGCCCGATCTAGCCCTGAGGAGACCGGCATACGCGCGCTGGCGAGCTGACTAGCAGCTCAGGTACGACACCGCAATACCACCCTTGAAGAGCGGGTTGCTCAGCCACCCTTGCGGTCGGCGTCGTTTTTGGGCGGCGGCTCGCTGTGGGAGAAGCCGCTGCCATTCCCGCCACCGTTGCTGCTGGTCGCTGCGTTTTTGAGGTCCGCGACACCCTTCTTGCGCGATTTGGACTTTTGCCAGCCGCTGAAGGACTCGGTCTGACTCTTCGCGGCGCGGACATGCCCGTTTTCTCTCGCAAGCCCGTTGATCCTGTGGTCATGGGCGGGCGACCGGGTCGTGAAGTCTTGTTGATGTTGCTGCTGGCGGGCCGACGAGCCGTTCGGTGACCTGTTGTTATGGTTTGAGGACTTGTGCGAGGACTTGGAATATTCCTTCATCGAGGGCAGTCCTGGCGCCGGAGCGATGGGCGACGGTTCGAACCTCCGGGCCACTGTCGGTGACGGCGTGCGATGCTCATACACAGGGGAGAGATGCGGCAACTCCTGATGGACCGCAAAGTCTCCCATAGCTAGGTCCAATGGCGCGAGCTGCTGTCGAGTGTGGATCCGTGAAAATCCCGCCAGGTTGTTGGGATCCCCGGCGACCGCTGAATAAGGCAGTTGAACGCCGGATCCCATGGCGAGCCGTTGCTGGAATGATGCGTCCATCATATTCGGCATGGTGGAAGGGGAGCGATTAGTCGAAGAGCCGTTCACAATGACCGGCCGCTGCGACACTGGCGTTGCGACGGGCTCGGCGCTGCTGGGCGAGGGAGTGGTATGCGGCTCAGGCCACGTGCTGCTGGGACTCACACCTTGGATGTGCAAGGCGTTGTCATGATGGCCGATGCCATTGGTAGCCAGCGGTTCAGGGACTGCCGCAGGGTGGACAGGCCCAACAGCTGAGGCTGGCTTAGGCGCCGTTCCATTGACCACCAGGGGCTTCGATGGCAGCTTCCCGTTGGTTTGGTGAAAGGGGGTCGAGAGCAGCGGTGCAGAACTCACTCCGACCGACATATTCCTGGCATGCCCCATGGGCGAAGGCGACCGCGATGTCCGTTTCATCCTCCGATCGAGGACAGACTGGGGCAGTTGATCAGTCGACAGCCTGCGGCGCCCTCCTCCCCCCTGATTGCTCTGGCTAGGTTCGCCCGACGCCTTGCCGTTGCTAGGCGTGCCGTTACTGAGAAATCCATTTGCTTGTCGGTTCTGGCTCGAGTGGTCATTCACATAGTACCCAACGTAACGCGGGTCGTCGTCCTGGGGCGGCGAGTCCGAAAGAACCTTTGCAGACGCATCGTCGAACCCCAAATCACCTGCCTCGTCTGGGACGAAGCCGTTCACTTGGCGTAACTGCGACGAGGAAACCCCATTATACGTTTGGCTAGACGTTGAGTATGCGGCCATGGACTGCGACGCAGTCATTGGCGTCCTCGAAGCTGGCTGGGATTGCGACCTAAGGGTACCAGTGCCAGGGGAGGTGGCCGCGTCCGTTGCCGCCGCGTTACGATGGAGACTCCGGCGGAATTCAGATTGCCCGTTGGTTGTTGCAGCCACTGTTGCCGGCGAGGAAGGGTAAGTCGTGAATGCCTGGTGATAATACGGGGAGGGCTGGATCGGGAATCCGAAGCCATACATAAGCTCGGGTCGGATGGGGGCTGTTAATGGTGGGTTGTCGAAGGAGTTGGTACGAGAGCGATCCGTCGCCGAGGTATTCTGGATTCGTTGAGCATGGGCGAGTACCTGTTGTTGGTTGAGCTGGGTGTACAGCTGGAACCGCATCGACTCGTGCGCGGCTAAAGCATTGAGCGAGGTGGTCAAGAGCTCCTGGGGCACGGCGATGTGGGGGCTCTGCGCTTGGTACCACAAGAGATCCTGCGCAGTCAAGGTAGGAGGGAGTGTTCCTTGGGCGAAAGTTTGGTTGTTCTCGTAACCAACGCCAGACGACCCCCTTCGATTCGCGTTGTTATTCCGGAATTGCCGGCTGCTGCGGAACCCGCCGCGGCTGCGGCCGCCACCACCATGCTGCTGCGAAGCACTCCTCACCAGGATCGGCCTTGGCGCCGGCGCCGGCTTCTGCCATATCCTCTCCTCCTCTTTGGGATAGACGTACTCCTCGCAGCACTGTTCGAATTTGCCTTCCGCAATCAAATCAAAAGCCCTCCGCAACTCCATGTGTAGGCCCCGAAATGACGTGTCGTCGGCCGTATTCCCCAGGTTGCGTATTGTGTTGAACGGTTCCTCGATACAAAGGGCGTTGTTCGAACCAATATGCCATTTCTTTTCCGTCTTGGTTAGTAATTTCCCCGTTCGTATTGACAGGGCATGCTTGTCGTAGTCAAACTCGTGGGCGTAGAACCGAAAGAACTGGAAGAGGAGGGTCGCTAGGTTGTCCTTGTTCTTCGCGCCGAAACCTCGGAGCTTTGAAATGTCGTCAGCAAACTCGCTGCGCTTGCCATCCGCTTTGAGTAGCTTCAGGTTGTGCCGTTGGTGGAGCGCGGGCAGTACTGGGGGCTCGCGGAGCTGTAGAAACGCAATGATCATGCAAATCCAGGTGTAAGAACTCAGGGTCCCGCCGAAAGCTAGGTAGGAGGTGTGAGAAGCGGCGCAATCACGGTAAAATGAGCTGGGGGTCGCGAACCTGCATCGTTGATGATCCTCCTCCGCGTCCAGTATTTGATGATAATGGCCAGGGGTCGCACGCGGTCGTCAATGCTAACGTAGGTCCGTACCATGCGAGTGTTTTCCAGAGCTAATGTGTTGTTGACGTTCATGTCGCAAGCCAGGCTTAGTTCAGGGTCCCAAATCTTCACGATGGGCACCTTGGCAGACGAGACACAGACGACCTTTTCCATCCCATCTAGTTTCCATTAGGTTCTGGCCAAACGCGAAAGGGCGGGGAGGGGGGAGGGGGGGTTGCGCATACGCCGGTGCAGGAGATCGGCGATCAAGCAGACGCTCTCCAATTCCCGCCAGGGGGTAGTAATGCAGATGTCGACTGCGCTATGTTAGCGTGGACTCTATCCAGGGTCCTTGGAAACACCACCTACCGTCAGAGTCATCGGAGCATAGAAGGTTTCCTGACGACCCAAACAAGTTCACTCGGATATCGTGGCCCGGCCACTCATCGTTGAAGAGCTTCTCGAGCTTGTCAACCAGCTTTCGCCGGTTCATCTCAATCGCATCTGTCGGTAATAGCCTGCTGAACAACTCCTGGATGTGGCTTTCAAGTTTCGACTCCTCCTCGTCCGAGAGCTTGCTCTTCACCTTATCCGCGCTCAGATTTTCAAGCCTGTCCGTCCCGATGCTGTAGGGCATTCGGCGTCGCGAGTGGGGGATCGCGGTCTCGAATCGGCATCCTCCAAGCCTAGGGGGGAGTGGTCGAAGCGAAGGGACGCTGCCGTTTGTCTCGGAGTAGGCAGAGCGGGGGGAATGATTCTGCGTCGCGCCGGGCGAGTGCTCGCGTGATTCGAACGAGAATTTTCGGGGATGTTGGTGAGGCGTTGATGGTACCGAGCTCGACTGCGCGGCCGCGAATGGCGCGCTTTGGGTAGCCGAGGGTGGGAGCCGGGCGGACACGTCCGACGATTTCTTGGCCGCCATTTTGTTGGAAGGTTCCTTTCCCGATTTCATAAGCGCGCGTTCGGCGATCTCTGATGATTTCGCTGGCCTATTCCCATGACAGCTTTGGGCGGTCAATTTTGTGTGGGTGTTATCCTTGTTTGACACTTTAGAAGAGGACCGCGACCGCGTGGAGGGTTTTGTTTGCGGGGAGGAAACCACAGGAGGGAGTGGCGGCGTCTGCAAACCACCTCCACCGCCCCGGCCGGCCGAAACGAGTTTGTTGTACTGGAGGAGCTTGTCCTGATAGAGTTGCTGCTGGGGGAAGAGGATGGGGAGGAGCTCCAGCTGGGAGCCGAAATAGCCCGTCGAAGAATCGGATGGCGACGTGGATTTTACCCTCGGTGTTGCAGAGGCAGAAGGGGTGCCCGACCAAGCGTGGGACTGGGAATGATGCTTGGGTTCAGCCGCTACAGGCTGGCCGTCCATGAAGTCGAGCGTGGTGCAGGACAGCCCCAAGATCCACTTGCTGCAGGTTTAACTCCGGCGAGTGGCGTTGCCTGGTGCTAGGGATGCGTTGCAATGGGGATAGACCCTGCGCTTGGAATGCCCTGGATGCGGGTGGTGCCCGCGGGTTTCTAGCAGTTCGGCAACCTCTCTCGATTGTACTTCGACTGTAGGAACACTTGGTGAGGACAGGTGCACACGCTCAAAGACGAGACAGCACAGAGCGAATATGCCCAGACCCCTGAGTATCGGCCGAGCAACCACAAGAATGTCCTGACGATCTTCTACAGCAAAGCTGCTTGCTCCCAGTGCCGATCACCGACAGTATGTAAAATTCAACAGCGGATCCGATTCTGGAGGTCTGAAATGATTAAAAGTTGTTGATCGGTGCTCGTCGTGAATCCTGTCAGTGCGGAGCGATAGTGGTATGGACCGATAAGCTTCGATGGTCGGACGAGATCGCCGGTCGAGATCGGTCGAACGGTGGTAGAGATGGCGATGGAGCCCCGTTTTTTGATGCTATGTCGGGGACACGAAACGAAGCTTGGGGCCAGAGCGAAAGGCAGTTCGGTCAGGAGAGGTCCGTTGGTCCAACAGTGCGATCAAGCACGGTCAATGCGGCAGGACGATACTGGCCTGGAAGGAGCCGCAAAGACGATGGACCAACTCGGAGCAACCGGAGAAAGCCGTGGGGCAGAATAAAATACACGGGAATCTCGAGTCGTGACAATATTTGAGCGAGTCGACCGGAAACGCGTGCAGATGTGCAGGTGTCGCAGGTGTGGCAAGATGTATCGTCTCGTCTCGTCTCGTATCGAGTGGCTCGCCGGCGTGTCTGGGGGGTGAGGAGGGAGTCAACCTGCAAATCCGGGCAAAGGGGAACAAATCGATGCTGGCCAGCGTCGAGCTGGACGGTGGAGCAGCACAAGGGGAAAAGGCCGCTGACAAGGGAAGCAGATGTAAAAGTAAAAAAGGGGGTGCGGGCGCGAGGGGACGTCACTTGAGATGGCGGTTGACCGTTTCCATTGAGCGATGCGGCCCTAGGGTCATCGGTCGACACTGCGTTCAAAGCGGGAAACCTGAGTGCTAATGTTGCTTTGCAAGCAAGTGCCACACAGCGACTGGCCCCGGGGCCAAGGCTAACAAAAAGGAGTCTCCAATATTAAGCCAAGGCCGACTCCACAACCACATTTCCGCTCCACAGTGATGACCCCCCGACCAGTCAGAGGGCGTGCCTTGAGCAGGAACCAGCCCCGCCATGCCCCCAGCGGAAACCAACACTGCAGGGCCCTCGGGATCCGCGTGAGGGCGGTTCCCCAGAGGCACAGGGGGCAGTGAGGTCACAATGCTGCCGAAATCCACACAGAACAATCTCGAAAATGGTCAATTTGAGCGTGTAGCATTCCTCAAGGCCCTGAGCAAACCCGCATTGAAGCTTTCAACTCCCAGTCTCAATCAAGTACCTAATCAATTCACTTGTCTTGTATGTACCTCGGCCGTTTCTCCCGTCGCTTTGTTCTCCTTCCTCATAGCCCCTCTTTCCCACGTGGTGAGCTGTTTGGTCCTTTGGTCCTATAATGCCCGCTTTCCGGTTGAGAGTCTTCACGCGAGTCAAGAGAACAGATGCGCAATTTATTTTGCCCTACTTCAACAACAGGGGCAAGTTGGCTCTTGCCTTGGGCACTTGAAGGATTAAATCGCTTGATTGTCGAAATTTAGAACCCAAGTCGAAAGCGCGTTGTGAATGCCCTGCCCGGCTCGCTCCTTCCCGCATTATGTTTGTGGTTTGTTCTCGTTTGTTGATTGATCCCAAATCTGATTTACCAAGAGAACCTTGGGTTCCAGGTTCCAACTGAGCGGATCCCGTTTCATTCAACTGAAACTCTCTGTCCTAGGCGCCGACCTAGAACTCCCCTCAGGTTTGCATCTCTCTCTTCCCCATCACAATCTCACCTCAGCTGCCGTCCGGTTGCACAACATGACGCCTGGAATCCGTCACAATTCGGCCCACTTAACAGCGTTTTATGGTTCAATCGAGTCTTTGTTTCACATCCCCCTCATTAGTGGTGACAGCCGTCTCCCAAGCCCCAACCAACTCAACCAGTCTTCTTGTCAGATCGATTGAGCCGCAGCGAAATGCGAGACCAGAAACCCAGCCATTCGGACTGCCCCGGGGTTCCGGGGCAGTCATCGGCGAGAGGATCCACCCAAACCCGACGCATTGGCGGCGAGAGGATCCTGGCAAGTCCGTAGAACTCGTCTGCCGTATTGTGCCTGCTCATCACAAGCGCAATCCATTGAAGAAACCTTGGGGCGGTTCACTTGCAGCATCTGATTGAGGGCATGAGTGTTCCCAGCACACTCATACGCAGCTGTCTGCTTCGCACCACGTGTTGCTTACGGCATTCCTTCGTCTCGGTCCCCGCCGTTACGAGATGAGCTCGCACAGCCACCTGCATAACCGGGCACTTTCAGCAGGTCTTTCATAACGATACCCTGGCTTTCATTCCCGTCGTAGATCTGAAGATCATTGAAACCGGAATGAGCCGGGAAACCGTGACTTCGCAGACAACTCCTCCATACTAACTATCGACATACAAAGTAATTCTCTCTCAAGAGCCCGGTTCATCAACAAGTAAGTGCCCCACCGAGCCTGCAATCCGTATCTGGAATCCTTCCCGTTCTGTCCGGTGCGCGTCATGCCCCTCGTACTAGGGCCTCCAACACCCCGCAATCGGCGGCGGCAGACTTTGGGATCGGGCGGCCCCAATTTGGGCATCTCAGCGTATCGCTCACTGATATTGCATCCGCTCGATTACTTTATCCTCGGTGCCACCAGTCTTGCTCAGACGTGGGTGGTGCGTCTCTGGGCGCGGCTAGCTTAGCTGTGGGCGGGTCGACGCAACCCCAGGCCGATCAACCGAGATGGGAAGAAGGCCTCACCCTATATATCCGTCGGTGCAAAGTAACCCCCGTCTATTTCTGTCTCAGGAACCCGGAAAGCCCTGGACTCGATTCGTTCACGCACATTGTTCTAGATGGTTTTTCCGGTGCAACGAAACCCAGGACCGAAACACGATGACCCAAGGTACAAAGTTCATCCTTCCGGAATGGACGAAGGGCACGAATCCTGAGCGTCCATCGGTAAAGGCAGAGTCGCGGAGGCCGTCATCCGCACGTTCTTTTGGGCCGGCTTAGCCTGGCATGGCTCCAGACTCGCCGCAGGAGAATCCGGGGGCTTCTCTAGATCCTCTCCTTCTCCGGTCGTTATCGAGTCATTTTCGAGTCAAAGCCACACGCAGCTACAAACACCGCAGCACCCAGCAACGCAGACCACCGTGATAGGCTCCAGGTAGTTCCGACCTGTCCTCGAGCATCCACAGATGACCCAACGGTTGGCCAAGGCCAAACAAGGCTGAGAGGGTTGAAAACCCCCGCAGTACCCATCCAATCGGATCGAAAGTTCTGCTCAGGGACGGCTCGCTCTCACACGTGGCAGGGTGGGGGGGGGGGGTTGGCAGCCTTGTCAGGTCCAGGCCGAGCCAGGGGCGAAGCGGCTGAGCCAGTGGCCTCGTCGGGAGCAGCTGCAATTTTGTCCCCATGATTTCTTCATATTACTTTAACATTACAGGACTATCTCCTGAAATTCGAGCGCCCCGTACACACTGTAATTTCCATTTGCAACGATGTCCCCTAGATCTTTTTTTCGAGAGCATTCTTCCCTCCTGCCTCTTCGGCGCCCCCAACAATCGGCCGACAAAGCGCTAGTTGGGAACTGTGGGCTCCACTAACACTTGGGGAGTTTGGCTGCAGCCATGTTAGCCCATCCAACACGCGAGTCACTCGGAGGGAGGGAAAAGACATACAGGCACTGCAGTTGTTGTCGGTAAAGTGGCCGTTGACATAACACGAGTAATCGCGGGTCGACGCGTAATGCCAGCCGCTGTGGAAGAGGAATCTGGTCAGCCAGGGCCCAGAAACCGAGATCCAGTCTGCGATTTACAGCCTGGGCTACGATGAACACATACCAGTTGACGGCCCCATTCAAGGTGACGCATTCTCCGCTCTTGTAGCACGGGTACCAGAGAAGAAGGCCGTTTTTCAAGGTCTGGACCACCTTGTACCCGGTACCCGGGCCCGATCGGCAATTCACACCCGAGGGCGCGTTGACAATCCTGCAGATGCCGTCGGTGCGGGGGTTGAGGACGTCGCCGGGGTTGCGGGATTCGAGATTGTCCGCGCTGGCAATAGGGCTGGCGCTGAGACCGATGGGGAGGAGGGAGGCGACGAGGAGGGGGATGAGCTTCATGGTGGTGGTGGTGGTGGTGGTGGTGAGGGTAGATGTTGAGGGCGGTAGTGGGCTTGAGAGGTTGGGTTGCCTTCGAATGTCTGCATTTTCGTGGAGAGAGAGGGAATGGGAAAGCCCTTTTATGTGTGACTTTTTTGCTGTCGGCCTACCTCGGCCGACAAGCATGGAGCGAAGGTGGTGGGACGTGAAGGGAGAGGTAAGACGGTGAGATTCTTCCCGGCGCGTTGTCACGATGCCAAAGCCAAAATCGGAAACTATTCGTAGTCAAGGTGAGATGCACCCCAAATGCCAAGCGCTTTCATGTGATCGCCGTGCCTCCTCCCCCACACTACCTCGACGAAGTCTGGCAGTTGAGAAAACTCCAAGGGAAAATGGTGAGGGTACCCGCCGGCAACTCGGATCACGTACCTTCCCGCCCTCGTTTTCTTCAAAAAACAAGGGTAGGATGGAACGATGGCAATTTTCAAGAACGGAAGCGACGTCCTGTGCCGGAAACAAGCCAATGGCAGTTCAATAGCGTGCATGCCAAGCGATTCTTTCCATCCCCCAGCAACCAACACGACCTCCATCTCAAGCGAGCCGACCTGTAAACGCCTGGAAGTGTGCCTAGGGCAATAGTTCGTGGCCCCGCCCTTAAGCGATGGGATTGTGTTGATACCTAGGTATTTTATCCTCTCTCGCTTCTTCCGGTGCAAGTATCATCCATCTTCACTCCACCCAAACTCTGCCAACTAATGAGGACACTCTGATCATCACCTCAATCGCCATGGCTAGATATAGCGACTCCGTCACAACTATCTTCACCCCGGATCCGACATGCTTTACATCGTCCAATCTATGGCTCCCGGAGGTGACTTATGGGTGCGGCACATACTACCCCCCATTCGACCCTCGGCCAACTGAGGCCGTCAAGCTTTCCGAGTGCGACTTCCCCCGATTGGGCCCTCCGCCCGCCGTCACCAAAGATGCGGCTCACAGCGCGTGTTACCAGTATAACATATATGCGACTGGAAACACCGCATACAGTGATTGTCCCGTGGGCATGACGGGTGCTGCCACAGATACAAGACCATGGGTTGATGGCGTCACCATCATTGAGACAACCTGCTGTCCGACGTGAGTACCTGAATAGAGGATGGTGGAACCCGGGGCTCTCCAGCCATATGCGCGGTGATAACTGACGGATACAGCGCCTATGACTTCAAGGCTCCCGATGGCACCCCCACCGCTTTCCCTTTTGTCGTCGACGGCACCACCTATCCAGGAACTTTCGGGACCACAAACCAATGCAAGGCCACGTCCATCGGCGCCTTATCGGGCCAGGTGGTAACTGTGACCCTTTCTGCCTCGCCACTATCAACAACCGAGGTGGCATGGGATTACGAGCAGGGCTTCATTGCAGCGGAGCCAGCCAAGGTCGTCCAGTACCTCTATTTGAACGAGGAGGCTGGCACAACCTCGACCTGCTTCGGCTACCGCTGCCCGCAGTCAAGGCCCAGCCCATCGAGGACGCGCCTGGTTCCGACCTCCGCCCCGACCTTCGCCCCGACCAAATCCTATATCCCACCTCCCTCGCCCGTGGTCACCCAGTTCACCCCCTCGCCGTCCTGCCTCTCGGATTCCAATTTCTGGATTGTCTCGGCGAGCTGCTATCTCCAGGACAATATATCCCTCGCCAGCCCTCCGTGGCTGCAGTGCACCTACACGGCCGCCGGTGACCCTGACCCGTCTGATACGGCCTGCTACCAGCCCGGCCCCTCCACCGTTGTCAGCGGCACGCCCGCCTTCTACTCGGCCTGCCCAGTGGGGTACACAGCGGCATCGGAGACCACGACCCGGCCCTACGGCCTGCCGGACTATGACGACAAAAACTCAACCCCGTACGACGTCTACGCAACCAGCAAGGCGTGCTGCCCGTCTGCGTTTGGCGACAGAATTTCCTTTCGCCACACCGAGGTCGCCACTACGCAGACTCGTGGGCAGAATGTGTTCATCTACGTGGTGCCGATGTGCGTGGCGTCGAGCGTGTCGCAGCTCCGCGACCACACCGTCACTATGGGTCTGTACAGCGACGCCCGCGTGTGGGACAAGAAGAAGCGCCAGGGGGCCGAGTACGGCACCACCACCGCCGTCTGGGACGTCAACCACGATCTCCTCTACGCCCATGGCCAGCGCGTCCAGTGGACCGTCTTCCACGGCACTTACACCTGCTACACGAACTGCAATGACTATTTCACGTACTCGTACCACAATACTGACCCCAACTATACTCCGCCGACGACGACGACCACCGCCTTGGCCTCGGCCGAGGAAATGAAGACCTCGACCTCGATCGGGGAAGCTGCCGCCGTCGTCAAGGGGGATGGACAGGCCGGCCGGCTGTCAGTTGTGATGGTTATTGTGACGGTTGTACAGGTTGTCGTCGGGGCGTTGGTGTGATGGCAGGGGGTTATTAAGGGGCGATGGCACAGGTTGGGCGGTGCTTTTCATGACTTGCTTTCTTACGATACATAATGATGACATCTAATGTGTATATCGAAGTTATGCTGACTTTCTCGCCGTGCACAATAACAATGTACCCTTGCTTGCAGCGGAGCTCATTTGAGAAGGTGATTGCTCGATCATTAAAGATACACAACAGAAATTAGGCAGGGAGCACAGCGAACAACCACATCCCACGACCCACGGCCCACGGTCCAACGTGAGCATTCTCAAAAAGCCCGCATCCAATCGGATATTACGGAATATGCCCATCCCATCCCATCCCATCTCATTCCATCACCAACAACATCATAACATGTTTGGGCTCGAGACTCGGGAGCGTAAGATGAAGTCGTTGGTCGTTGTTGGTTGTTCCGACGGGTTGGTTCTAGCAGCCGGCTGCTGGGCCGCATTGCATGGGATCCACACACGGGTTTTGACGAGGCGGCACGGCGGGCGGGCGGGCGCGGCGAGGCGGCGGATCGATACCCGGCCTTTCCATGCCTTGTCATGGGGTTGCGGGCGGCACGGGCCTGGGCTGGGGCTGGGGCTGGAGGTCGGAGGTTAGAGGTGGGAGGTGGAGGTGGAGGGTGATGGGGATGGATGGATGGGGCGTTGCCTGTGGTGTGGTGTAGAGTGTAGTGTGGAGTGTGGAGTGTGGAGGTAGGGGGTGCGTTAAAGGGAAGCGGCTCGGGCATGAAGCTGCCTGTGAGGTGAGCAACTAGCACGGCTGGGCGGATGGTAGTTAGTTGTTGGTTGGGACTCTTCTACATATTGACTCAGCGCCGAGCTGCTTGTCGTTTGGAATATGGGCTATGCCGGGGTTTGCCGGCGGGAGTGTGTTTTGAGTGCTGATAGGATCCGTCTCGCCTCGTGTTAGTGCCAACTGCACGGAGCGGGGTCCGACTTATCGGTGTTTTTTTTAGGGAGGCGTAGCGTTTCCTCTATGCGGTAAGTGGTATCGTGTGGTAGGGTAGACCCAACAACGGTTTGGCCGGGCCGACTTATTACTGTACCACTCGTTGTATGTGTCGCGGCTGCCTCGTTCAAGGCTGGGCGTTGGGGCGGTGGTGCCGATGAGAGGTTGAGGCAACCGGTGAGGGCGCATTTGGTGGCCTCAAATAAGTTGTCCTGTGATGGGATCTCTGATGTGCCGTGTATCTGCGCGAGAGTAGCTCCGACACGTGAAGAGTGTGAGACTGGTTTATGCTCGGGCCCCATGATATCTCTTTAACAGCGGTGTCATTTGTTTACTTAACCCCGGGCGACGGAGTGGGGCCGTCTTCTGGACTCCGGAACTCCGGGACGGTGTTTGTTCCAATGAGGTCCATGGATTCCTTTCAAATAGTCTACCATAAGATAAACGTACTCAGATGATGCCAATTTCCTTGCCTTGGAAGAAGGAACGAGGACGGCATGTTCCCAATCACCGCACTGCCCCTTTTGTTTCTTCACGCATCCAAGTAAGTCAACCCAACCCAACCAGAGTGCCTTCTTAAGGCACACCGATCTCTTTTCTTCTACCTTTGTGCCCCATATTCTCACTTATTGGCATCTCTAACTAGATCCTCCAGTGCTTGAAGTAATCCTTTCTTCCCAATTCCTTAGCCGCGGTTTGCCGCGCCCTCATGAGTCTTGCTCTTCTAAGCTTGTCCTCTCGGTGGCTTCACATCTGAAACCTTCTTTCTCAGCTCCCATCTTCGTGCCTCTCGGCTTCACGCATCATGCCCTATCAGCGCCTTGGAATTATAGTGGATGCAGCTATTGTGGCTCATGCCGTGAAAGGGCGGTGAGTTTGTCTTGGAGGGGACATCCCAGCGCCATCACCAATGATACCATATGGCAACAGCAAGATCGCCAGAAAGCCCACCACATAGCAGGAAGCAGCATAATGATTCACTGCTCCAAATCTCATTCGTGGGGAACTGCGCCCGAAGATCAGATCGACCCCCTTTTCCTTCAGGCTTCCCTCCCTGCTCCGGCAACCGGGCTCGCCGTCAACCAAGGGGCGGATAACGCGGCAGGCCAAGGCCTGGTGGTTTGAACTTAAGCCTTGATACGCGCGGCGGTATCCACCATCGCGAGCGATCTGAAGCACGAAGGGTCTACCCAAGCACCCAAGGTGGCTTGGATGTGCCCAAGTGGGCCGTCAGTGGAACCCAACGCCGTTACCCGACTCAAGCTGCGGTAATGCCCAGCCGAGTGCGGGGTGCTTTTAGGCCCGTACAAGCAAACAAAGCTGCAAAGCCACAAAGGTTCTCCAGATGACCCCATTCGGAGATGCCGGCCATGCGTATATAAAGGAGTCTGGCCAGATCCGCCATGCCGGCGTTGATCTTGGTCCATAACCTTCTTCTACTGTTACACACCAACAACACCTTCCTTCCTCCACGCCATCCACCATCCAACATGACACAATACGATAACAACAACTACTCCCAAGGCGGCTACCAGGGGGGAGGTTATCCCCAGGGGAACCCCCCGCCGTATAACCAAAACCAAGGTTATAACCAAAACCAGGGTTATGGTAACCAAGGTCAAGGTTATGGTAACCAAGGTCAAGGTTATAACCAAGGCCAAGGGGAGGCAGCTTCCTACTACGCCGGAGCGCCCCAGCACCAGCAGCAGCAAGGTTACGGACAGCAAGGATACGGCCAGAATCAGCAGCACCACCAGCGGGACTCCAACAACGGCCCTCAGGAAGATGGCCCGGCCGGTGAACGCGGCATGTTGGGTGCCCTGGGCGGTGGTATCGCCGGCGCCGTGGGAGGCAACAAGATCGGCGGCAAGGCGACTGGCCACAGCAAGACGAGTAGTACGTGTTGCTTTTCTTTTCCTTGACCCCTTTCTCTATCCCAAGACATACTCTCCGTTTGGGCCTGCCGCTGACTCATGGTAGCCGTGATCGGTGCCTTGGCTGGTGCCTTTGCCGGACACAAGCTGCAGGACGGCGTGTCCGACTGGAAGGACAACCGGGACGAAGAGAAGGAGAAGAAGAAGAAGGAAGAGGAAGAAGAAAAGCGGAGGGAAGAAGAGAGGAAGCGCAGGGAGGCAGACGAGAAGAGGCGCAGAGAGGAGGAGAAGAAGAACGAGCACCACCGGCCTCAGCACCACGAAGGACGGAATCACTCCCCTCCCCGCCATGAACACCACAACCAGTCTCGTGATCGCGGTGTCAGCTACGCCGGCAACTTCAGCAGCTCCGCACGCGACACCCGCCTTGACGCCCACGGCGAGTACATGCTGCACGCCTCGTGCAAGCGCCTGGACGGCTCCTACCAAAGCACCAGCATCAGCCTGAACAAGATCATCGAGAACGACCGGGGCAGCTTCCGCTGGTCTTCAGGCGGCCGGAGCAGCGGCGGCGGCGGGCCATCAAGCTACACCGTCCAACCCGGCGACACCCTGCGTAACATTGCCGCCAAGTACAACACCTCGTTCGAGGAGATCGCGCGCATCAACAACATCCCCAACCCCGATCTGATCCACCCCGGGACCAACCTCCAGATTCCCGGCTCTGGCGGCAACAACAACAACAGCGGCGGTGGTGGTAACTTCGGGGCCTCGGCACGGGACGTGCGCCTTGCCGATGGCGGCCGCAGGCTCGAGGGCGAGCTGCTCCGTGACGGAAAATGGGTCGGCAGTTCCATCATCCTCGACGAGAGGCTGTCAAACAACAACGGCACACTGCAGTATATCGAGTAGAGAACCGTGTGAACTGCGTGCCGGTCCTGCCTGGCCACCTTGCTCTCTGGCTTTGCCATAGCAAGATAGTTACTATACAAGGCATGGTTGTTGAAGGACTACCAGTCCCCTAGCTCACAATTTAATGTTTACGAACTCATTCTGCTCTTTACTACGCATCAGTGACCACAATCCCCTGGCCGTTTGCTAAGTTTATTACCCCATTTGGGACGCCCTTGCACATTCGCCGAATAGCATGAAGACTGGTATCTACTTCACTCCGACTCATTCCGGCATCCTACAATCTCCCAACTCGCCCTTGGGCGGCCCTAGGCCTTAGCTGCCCCTTTTGTTCCTTCCATTGTTCTCTTCTTCCTCCATAAACCCCTTTTCTTTCCTCACTCCCTTCCCTTCCTCTCCCCACGTTCCTAGCGGAAGGGCAGTCACTAGAGGCCGCAGGGAGGCCGAGGAGCCAGTGTTCGAGATACGATCTCTTCCCGGACGCCAGGTCGGAAGGGGAGGCGTTGTAACCGTCCTTGCTGTGGTCCTCCTGGAACTCATCAAGCCGTGCCCGAACAAACCGCTTTCCTTGGTGGCTCCGACCAGAGTAGGTATTATTGATGGTGTTTTCCCAGCCCTGGCCCACGTCCCCACCGGCGCCGCTCCTGGCTGGTATCGTCATCATCGTCGCCAATATTGGGCCACTACACTGTCCCCACTACCAGGCCTACCATCTCCCCAACAACCGGCATCACCGCCACCGCTCCCACCCCGACTCCCACTCCCACTCCCACTCCCACTCCCACTCCCACTCCCGCCATCCCCACCCTCCTCACCACCCACCCTCCCCCCATAAAACCCAACCCCCCCATCCCGCAACGAGCAACATACCGCCCCCTCGCCACGACGCCCCCCCTCCCCATCCCCCCTCCTCCCCCCACCCATCCCCACCCCTATCAACCTGCACCCCCATCCCCTCCTCACTCCGCCCCCCCCACTCCCAACCCGCCACCCAAGTCCGCTCTCATCGCACAAGCCCTTCCCGGGGTAGCGCCCCATTCCGTTCGACTCGGCAAGCAGCGGCGGCGACGATGACGGCGGCGGTGGTGGTGGTGATGGTGAGGGCATGCTCAGGAGACAGACAGACGTATTTGTATGTATTTGTATTTGCTGTGGCTCGGCTTGGCTAGGCTGTTGTTGTTGCAGATATGGGGTGGGGTCGTGTATCAGGGGGTTGATTGGTTGGTTGGTGGTTGACTGTTGGTGAATAACTCTGTCGTGCTGAGGATAGAGCATTGCAATTATTGCTCTTCAACGAGGAATCCCTAGTAAGCGCAAGTCATCAGCTTGCGTTGATTACGTCCCTGCCCTTAGTACACACCGCCCGTCGCTACTACCGATTGAATGGCTCAGTGAGGCTTCCGGACTGGCCTAGAGAGGTCGGCAACGACCACTCAGGGCCGGAAAGCTATCCAAACTCGGTCATTTAGAGGAAGTAAAAGTCGTAACAAGGTCTCCGTTGGTGAACCAGCGGAGGGATCATTACAGAGTTGCAAAACTCCCTGGTAGGTATGAAGGGGACGGGTTCGTTCGGGTAGGTAGGTACCTAGGTAGTTTCCGGTACGTAGGTTGTGTTTGTCTCCTTGTGGAAGCTGGTGCTGTGTGGCCCGGGGGAGAGGCAGGGCTATTGTAGGGAATGGGGGCTGTTATATGGTTGGGGTCGTGCATATGTCCGTGCCCGTGGTGGCTGCCCCGGCCTCGGCGGTGAACAAAGGCTATTGTTAGCCATTGTTTGGTATTCTCGCGGGCGCTGGCTGGGTGACTGGCGTCAGCTGGCCGAAACGAGAGGTTCTTTGGCTCGCGGCACGTGGTTCGTTACTGGTCGAGGAGCCCTAGAAGTCATGAACCTGGTTCGAAAGACCGTTGGTGTAGCAGGGGAGCTGGTGGTTGGTTGCCATGTAAACAAAGGATGGCAGACTCGGGAACCGGGACATGGCCTAACCCACTCACCATGTTATCCGGGTTCAGTTTCTCTCTCCTTACCTAGGCCAAATTTCACACGATATTGCCGTTCGCGCAGTCATAAGCAAACAAGCCAAGCCGCCCAAGCCAACGGGTTGCACAGCCATCTACCACAGGTGATAGGGACGACGAGATTCGTATTAGGGGTTATAACCCGCTGCTGGGCGGGAGTAGTTAAGGTGCAGATATAGTGAAGTGTCGGGAAGAGGGGACCTTGTATGCCGTGTAGTGTCTCGGGGAAAGGAAATAAAACAAACGCCCCCCGAAGATGACCAAAACAAAGCCCCGTCCGTTGTCTCCGTTGTCTCCCCCCTTTCAAGATGAAAAACCCCCAACACCACCCCGATGATAGATAGAGCAAGGCTCGTTATGTCGCATAAACACGCCAGTCACCAGCCGCTCCGTGAAAACTACAACCTGCTCCATTCCATCCTCGCCAATGCCCCACCAACCATAACGTTGTGTCGCCGTCCTATTCCGTGATTGTTTCCTATATACTAACGAAGCCGAAATGAACGCAAAAATGTGGATTGTTTGGTTGCAGGTGTTGTTGTAGCGGTGCCCCCAATATAGAAATAGATCGAAAAACTAGAGAGCCGTTTTGTGCGCATCGTTCCACGCCGTTGTTGCATGCTAATAGCCGACGGAACTCAAGAAAATGACCGTCCATACCTCCCAGCCACAGTCGAAAAAAAGCCGAATTGCCCACCCAACCCGTCCCCGGGGTTAAACAATCTTCACATCCCGTAGAAAAAACGACGTAGGCCTGATGCCAATGCGTATGCCGCGCGGGTCCGGACAATATCGGTGTGTTCCTGTTTGCCATGTCGTAGTTCCGGGGTGAAACCCCATGCCGTGTACGCCCCCACCCAGTCGGTATCGAAGGAAGGCCAGACGCCGAAAGTTCGATGAATGCCAATGTGCCAGAGACCAAAGACAACAGCGCTCCCATTTCGCCTCCCCAGATACCTCGCCTCTTTTGTGCGTAAGCAGCATGAATGACCCAACACACGCGCCTGCTGCCTCCGTTCCATTTCCGAAAATATGCCAACCTCCCACCCATCCCTGAATCAGAAAACAAACACCGTTTCTCACATTTATCCACGCGCCACCCTGTTGATGTCCGTGCAGCCTTCCTCGATTTCCGCCGCCCTGATGAATATAACCTCGCAGGACTCCGTATCCGAAAACGCTACCATTTGTTACCGGCGTCGCTGATATACCCAAATGAAAAACCTAGCCCCATACGCTGGCCTGGACACCGCCAAGACCAGGCTTGCTGCCCCATCCATTGGGACGGGCGCCCCAACCGGACAGGCTAGCGTTCGAGCCCTCCGAGGCCCCAGTCGGCGGCTTGGTGGGGCCGGCGTTGCTGGAAACGCCGCCTTCGTCATTGCCGGATGCGTTGTAGCCCTGGCTCAGGGGCGACGGCAGCGGCGTAGTGGACCGCTTGGTCAGAGCAGGGTTGATCGGGGCGCCGGAAACCGAGGGGCGCGTGCCGATGGGAGCAACCGAGCCCTGCGAAGGCTTGCTGCCCGGAGCGCCCTGCCGCGGCGGAGATCCTCCCGGCGACGAAACGCTGGTACGGCTCGACTGCTGAGCTCCCGGTGCATCGTACATGCCCTTGGTTCCCGGATTAGACTGGGGGCTGGAGTTGCTGTTGGCGCGGGCCTGCTCGTTGTGCCCGACGGATTGCGGTCCCTGTCCGCTTTCCGCCGAGAGCTGAGCGCCAGCATCGATATGAGCAGGGGGCACACGTCCATACTCATAGGCCAGCGGGGAATGACCACGAAGACCAGCTGCGCCGCCTTGAGGACCAGGCAAGCCAGTCCGGGGAGCACCGGTTTCATCGGCATAGCCGGCGCCCTCGGAGTACTGTCCTTCTCCATATAGACCACTACGCTGATGGGAGAGGAGCTTGCGGCGATCTTCGTCGGGCAGGCTGCCGGGGCTTAGGGTGCGGTCCAGCTTGTTGCCGGTGTACGGCATGTCGGAGAGAACAGCTACGAAGAAAGCTCGAGTTAGCCTAGATCCTTGGACATTCATTGTCTCGTAACCCAGCCACCAGAAGATTCCCCAAAGCTGCTCCCCATCTTTACATCGTTCAGAGCACAGGACCATTTGGCGTCGAACCGCACTTGTGGTGCAACATAGTTGGGAATGGAAGGGTTGAGCTCTGGGGGCGCAGGAAACTGCTCTATGATTTTGTTTGCTCTGGTAGGAAGACTGATGCTATACAGTAGAAGACGGCCTACTTCGGTTGTATTGCTGCTCTTGGTGGTAGTTCCGCAGCTCTCGCTCCCGCTGAGCGGCCATTCTCCTCTTGGCCTGCATCATCTGTTCCGCCTCGTTCGAGCCGCGCGAGGATTGGTGGCGCTGGGAGGCGTAGAAGTTCTGTAGGTTGGAGCCCGTGTGCGAGCCGCGCGCATCGCCGAAGTCGGTCACGGACTGGGGACGGGAACCGGGGCCGGCGGGCGGACGTCCTTCTAGCGTGCAAAAGGTCAAGGGTCAGTGGGTCGGGCTCGACTGCAGCGGCCCGGTTCCAGGCACACCCACCAAAAACCTCGGAATGGTCCGGCGGGGCCGGGATGGGGTAGGGGAGGAACTCACGACGACCTCCAGCATTTCCAAACATCTTTCCGCTCTTGAGAAGGTTGTCGATGGCACGATCGACCTCTGGGAGCCCGATAGTCAGCATTGCATATCCCCCCACCGCCGTCTCTTTCTAGCCATATCCTGCGCCCACCCGCAAACTAGTGTCACGATAGGGATTTCGGCTGCGGCGGCTGGGATGGGGCGTGATGAAAGAGTAGGGGACGTTACATACCCTCAAGTTGGTGAGTGAAGGCGCCGGACTCCTCGCGGGGGATGGCCGAGTTGGCACCTGTGGATGGAAGCGATATTAGCCACCGGGATCGCTGTGCGCATGCGTCAAGTCCCTAAAACTAACCCGAGCGGGCAGGCGGCGGAGTCTGGTGATCCCAGCCAGACTGGCCCGAGGAAGGCCACTGGGGCGAGGACTCGTAGTATGCCGACATGATGAGGGAGGGCCTCGAGGTGGGCAGACCGGAAAGCCGCAGCGATTATCGGCAGCGGCGCTGTAATGGGATTCGGCGTGGAGAATTCCGGCTCGAGAGCTGGCTCTGCAGCAGATTAAGTTAGCATGTGCGAAATGCAATGCATGAATAGCGATAGGCAGTGCGCTGAGATGACGCGATAGCGACATGTATCAGGCACGATCGCTTGCTTGGTTCGTGGCCTAAAGTCTCGGAGCGTGGTGGAAAGGGGGCAAGGGAGCTAAGGCGCGAAAATGAGGTCGGCTAGCTGTGAGTGGCGCACCAGCAAATCAGGGAAAAAAAATATTTCCCAAGGGCCAAGGGAATTTGGGGGTGCTCCTCAACGTGCGCAGTTCTTGGAGTCGCACTCACCGCAAGTCAACTCTCCTTGTCGCTGAAAGAGATTCCAACCTGATCCTGATTGACAACGAAAGAGGGCCCCGAGGAAAAGAGGAAAAGGGGGGAGGGGGAGGAAATTCGGCACACAACTCAACGCGCAGGTGGTTTTTCTTGTCGCGAGCCAGGTGTGGAGGGTTGCTTCAGAAGGAAAGGACCGGGGAGATGAAGGTTCTTAGGCCCGGCGCAATGGACGGAGGCGTGGGTCGATCTGCCAACGTGGAGGTCGCTCTTGCAAAAAAAGGTGCGATCCCTTTTTCGATTCGTGGAAGGTCCACGGGAGCGGCAGCACAGGGCTCTCAAAGTAGCAGCAAGTGGATGGAGCGCCGAGAAAACGGCAGACCATTCTGTTGAGAAAGGGGAAGGAAGAGATGGCAGCTTTCAACTTTGGTTTCCTTCATCTTATCCATCGAGGTGTCTACAATTTGGGCAGTATCTAAGGTGCCTTGCAGCCTAACAAATAACTACACTTTTCAACACGGATTTCAATGAGGATTTTGCAAAGCAGCCTCTCTTGCGCTCCTGCACGAATTACGAATCCAGTTGGACGGTGTGGATGTCCGCGGTACAACCGATGATGGTTCAAGGACCCGTCTTTTTCCAGGATCACCTCTTTCACGAACTCGAGTCGGCAGGGATGCCGGAAAATTACCAGTTCAAGAAAATCCCCTGTCTTGCGTATTAATAGCAGCAACGAGATACTAAAGTCTCAAGTACGAAGAAGTATAAAATACTATCGTCAATGGTGTTGGGAGACAACTAAATTATTTTGGGGGACTTGAAGCCAAGAATGCCAATTTGAAAAAAGTCGGGCTTTACCGTGACGTTACGGCAAAGCAACTGTCCGCTCTTGGCCATGGAATTCAGCCTGCAGTGATGGGGATCTGCGACCTCACGCCTCGGAATCATCCACAAATGGAGGTGACGAGGCAGCGGTGGCGCACAAGAAGCACATCAAGCATCCATCATCACCAAGAGGCGGCAGTTGCATGATCATCTGTTCCATCTGATCGGGGAAACTTGAGACCTCGACCCAAGCGGGCCGGTGCGGACGAGGTGGATACCCTGGAACACCTCTTTGACTGGGGACCATTGGTCCTGAGTTTGCCCATAGACGGAAGACGGCACTGGATAGGAGAAGCCGGTGGCGGGAGGCCGCAGTAATTGGAAAGATCGATTAATGGAGGATCACGGGGGTTGACGCCTTTGTCGGCCGATAGAATGCCTCATCCGACACTTTCTACCTTGAAGATGAACACACTCGACGTTTTCGAAGATGAAATCGCTCTCATCCTAGCATGGATGGCCTTGACCAAGACAAAACGAGCACGACCTTCAATGGCCCCCCCACTGTACGAAGCAGCTAGCGACAATCAAGGTGGTTATTTCCGCTCACGGCGTTTCTCGGGCCGGCCAGGATGTTGGAGGCAAGGGGGGATGACAAGGGGGGGTTTAGCGTCATCGTGCCCCCAGCGACTCGATCGTCCAACACCAGCCCTCAGTCCCAATATCAAGCCGAATGTTTCTGGAAGCACTTTTCGGAAGACAAATGCGTTCTGCCGGGAACCCACCTTGCAGGCTGCAGATGCGAATCTTCTCGGCTGAGAAACCCCAGCGGTTCAAGGGTGTGGGGTGGGAGGGGCAGCAAGGGATCTCAGGCGACACCAACCCGCCCACCGGCACAGTTCCCTCTGCAACTACTTGAGGGTCAGCATCTCTGATTTGCAAGCTGCGAGTGCCGAAACGACAAGTGGTTTCTGTTCGTCTAAGACCTCCTGACTCGAGAGCACGTGGGTAAAGTATGAACCGGATATCTTTGCCGGGAACCCGTTCATTCATCCAGCCTTGTGTCTCTCCTTCTGCAGTTTCATCCATACTGTATCATCAGCAGCCGACCCCGCGTGCTCTTTGAAACTGGACTGGGACAGTTCGGCGGGTTCAAGCTTCAACCCGGGAACCCTCTTGTGGGGCCGCTTGAACTTCTCCGGGACCATTAGCAATCAAGGGTTGTCGTCCGAAGTTCAAGATCGAGGCGTGACCTGCAGAGATGATCTGACGCAGCTAACTGGCTGAATATCCGGGCTTGTGGGAGAAGCTCTTTGGGTTACTGGTATCGCCGGCCTCACACGACGCTAGAAGGATTCTCATCGCCGGCGGGTAAAGTCGTTTCCTCTGCCTCCCCGGACTCATTACATGCACAGTATACCGACTGCATTTTCATCTCATCTCAACTCGGTCTCCCGAGCTCAAAGCCGCGTGTCGGCTCCTCCCGGACCATCCCCGCCTTCATTTTCGCCGAGGCGCCGCATGCGACATTGAAAGTTCCCGAAATCCCGCCCAACATCATGACCCTTCAACAAGGCCACGTTGGCGCGCGACATGTGCGGCAAAAACATGGAGAATCAAGAGTTTGTAAAACATCAACACAGGTCTCGGTCAACCAATCCGGAGTCCCTCGACATCCCACCCTCTCTTATCACCTCTCCGAAAAGGGCCGAGTCCATTTCTGGCACCAACGAAGCCTCACTTCGCTAAAAACCCGAGACAACAGGCGCGTGCTGGGACAGAGCTTCTATCACTGGAACCACTGCTGCTTCCCCAAGCGAAAGCAGACATTCATCTTCACCTGCTTGCGGGGCAGATGTTCCTCATTTAGCCCACCCGTTCGATCCGTGTGTCTGACAAGTTCGAAGCAGGCCATCATTGCAGGAAAAGGCGGCGCTTCCTGCAGCAGTTCTCTCACGATCTCTCTTGCCACCCAATCCCAGATGCCGGCCATCGAATAGCATGGCCGAATCATCGCGCCCCTTTTCCCCATCACGCTGCACCTCAAGCATCATGTCACAAGCCCCACTTTGACGCGCGAACTTGTCTCCTCGCGTTTCGACTTGGCCCGGGTTTGATAGGGTTCACGACCCCAGTGTCTCGATTCCCGAACGTAAGGCGGATCCAGGAGCTGTCACACAAAGAACACCCAACCCAAAAACTTGGGACCGGCACTTCCACTAACTGTGGGAGGCTTTTCCCTGCTCGTGAGACATGCTCTCGTGTACAGAGAGAGTTAACAACTAGCCGAGTCTCATCAGATGGAAAACTGCGAGAGACTGAGCCGACACTGCCCGTCGCTACTTCGTACTCTGCCAACCCTCAGTTTGGCCAGAAGCTGGCGTCCCTAACTTGAAATATGCGGTGGTGTTATTAAGCTCCTTCGCTCGTCCTTCGGAAACACAACTGGATTGTATGGATATGCTTCGGGGTACCAACTGAGCTTGTGACGGGCCGACCCGCTTGCTCCCGGGTTCCCGAATTTTGACCAACAATGAGGAATCGAGAGCCCAAGAAAACGACAGTCACAGAGACAACGGGCCATCTCCGACTGACCGTCAGAGCTTGGGGACCGATCCTGACCCCCCACAACCTGGAATTTCGTGTTGGCCAAGTTAATGGCTTCCGACCCCCACTTCTCTTTTCCCTTCGTGTTCCCTCGTCTTTGCCCTTGTCCGTAGGGCTGTTTCGCCCGCCTTTAATGCGCGAGCCATTGTATCCCAGCGACATCACCCCCGGGTCTTGAAGCATGATGGTTCGGCCAAGCCATGAGTCTCCCAGCCCCCACCACCCTGCCTCAACAAGAGGCGCTGAGTGGGCGGGTTGTTCTTGCGTAATGCATGTGGGAAGTGCGGGGGTTCGGTGTGCGCAGGCCGGGGAAGATGACTGAACGGTCAAGGCTAACCAACGCGGTGGTAACTAGTTGGCGCAGAGTGGCGTTTGTGCAACGCCCAGACAGCAGCATCGCTCTCCCAGTGTTTGTTGGTCCTGTATTTGGCGGGCGGTGAGCTCCCACGTTGCTATCTGGGTTATGCAAGTGAACTGCAACCTCAATTTCAACTTCTCCGAGACCATCACGGCATTTATGGACAGGGTCAACGTCCCCGGCAGAGGGAGAAGAACCACGTGCAACCCCCGTGGTGACCGGCAGGGGGCCTCCGGGAGTGCCCCGCTCACACCCGCCCAAACCGGCCCCACAGCGACCCCCGTGCCGTTCCATGCCAAGCAGCTTCGGCGGCTTCTCAACTTGGCTCCATCCCCGCAGCGCGCTATTGCAGACTTTTCTCTCAGCTGAACTCTCCCACGCGACTACTGTGTAGCACGTATTCACATTCACCTCATCACGGTCAGTCGCACCTGCCCGAACTTTGAAGCCACACTAGGATTCCCATCCTTTCTCCCGCCCTCAAGGACCCTTTCCCCGCGCGTCCTGCCTGATTCGACACTCCAACCCTCAAACTAAAACGCCACAATCACCGCGTTCTGGTGAAGAACCCTGCCTTTTACCATCAACACCTTGCAGATGTTCAGTTCGAGATCGGCGCCCATCAGCGTTACCACTTCCTCGGCGCACGACTTGATGTGCCGAGTCCGACAGCAGTAGCTGACCGGCAAGCGACTTTGAGTCTTTGCGCTTGCTTAGAGGAGACGTAAGAAAGACTTACACATACGGCATATCACACCTGTTTTGTGCTCCTGTGTAAACACCTATAAACTTTTTTCACCACTTGCATATTGCAACCTGCAGCCTTGCAACTTCATTGCATAGGTATTGCATGTGATCGACACCCGGCCTGATCCAACCTTGATGTTCGGTGAAACCGGACTCCTGCAGACCATCCACGCCCGCATCTTCGCGGCACTCCAACTCACCCCGCCCACCGCCGCCGCCGCTGCCCAGGGCTATCAGTCTGTCAACTCCACCGACGACGAGATGGCAGCCGAAACCCAGCCCACGGCCAACGAGACCGTGTTTGCCAAATCAGCCGTCGACGACGCCGCCAACTACGGCACCGCCGACGACCGCGTCTCGTCATCCTCCACCACCGACGGCGAAGCCGCCGCGGTCGCCGCCGGCCTCTCCCACCTCGAGTCCCGCGAAACCCGGTGGTACTCGTACCTCCTAACCAAAGACTTCTGGCTCATCATCGCCGTCGGCCAGATCCTCTCCCTTTGCATCACCGCCACCAACACCTTCACCAGCTTCCTCGTCAGCGTCAACACCAACATCCCCGCCTTCCAAACCCTCTTCAACTACGCCCTCCTGACCCTCATCTGGCTGCCCATCACGCTGCGCCAGCACGGCTGGCGCAAGCTCCTCTCCATCGCGGTGCGCGACGGCTGGAAGTACTTCATCCTGTCCTTCCTCGACGTCGAGGGCAACTACTTCACCGTGCTGGCCTACAACTCGACCAACATCCTCTCGGCCCAGCTCATCAACTTCTGGTCCATCGTCTGCGTCGTCGTGCTGTCCTTCTTCCTGCTCAAGGTCCGCTACCGCCTGGTCCAGGTCGCCGGCATCCTGATCTGCTGCGGCGGCATGGGCCTGCTGCTCGCGAGCGACCACCTGACGGGCAGCAATGGCGGGCCGGGGAAGGATATGCTCAAGGGGGATTTGTTTGCCCTGTTGGGTGCCACCCTGTACGGCGTCAGCAACGTCTTTGAGGAGTGGTTCGTCAGCAAGCGGCCGGTTTACGAGGTGCTGTCGTTTTTGGGTGTGTTTGGGGTATGCATCAACGGCGTGCAGGCGGCTATCTTTGACCGCCACGCCTTTGAGGGCGCGACCTGGGACGGCCGCGTCGCGGGGTGGCTGGTGGGCTACACGCTGTGTTTGTGTCTGTTTTACAGCATGGTGCCGCTCGTCCTGCGCATGGGCAGCGCCGCCGTCTTTGATGTCAACCTGCTGACGGCCAACTTCTGGGGCGTCATCATCGGCACCCGCGTGTTTGGCTATGTCGTGCACTGGATGTACCCGATCGCGTTTGTCTTGATCATCTGTGGGCTGGTCGTCTACTTTTTGGCTGGCAGCATTCTGGGCGACTCCAAGAAGCCGTGGCTGGGCGATGACCAGAAGCACGGGATTGCGGGGATTGGCACGGCCAAGCTGAAGGCGTTGAATGAAGCGAGGAAGAAGGGGCTGGCTGGGGCGAGTACCGAGGGGGGGGAGGCCGGGCAGGTCGGAGGGGCTTCGGGGGGGCAAGCCTAGGGATGGGAGTGACGGGGTGAAGGGTGATGATTGTAATATGGAAGGAAATGCGTTGGGACTTCTGGCGCCGTGGATAGCGCGCAAGCGTTGCATCATTTTGGATATCAATATGGTCGTCTCACTTAAAAGGGGCTACAGGGTTAGGGTCATTGCCAACGTAGAGATTACTGCCTTCCCATCCCACTGTGTGCTGCCTGCTTGTGCCTGTGACTGTGCCTGTTTCGCTCAGCCTTTGACCCCCGCCAACCAACTGGCTTCACGCTCGGGTAAGAACAAACAACCCAATCTCATTGAAGAGACCCAACTTAAACAACCGCCTCCAACAACTTCGCTCACCTTAATTAAGCTTCTCGACACTTAGCCAGGCCAATTTCCCAAACCAGTCATTGACGAAGAGCACGCCACAAGAACTCACAATCCACACCAAAACAACCTGCAACCCAAAACCACACTCACTATGGCCTCTCCAACCCGCTACTTCGCCTTCGGCAGCAACCTCTGGCAGCACCAAATGGCCCTCCGCTGCCCCAACTCCCCTTTCATCGGCCTCGCCCGCCTGCACGGCTACGAATGGTTCATCAACGCCCGCGGCTACGCCAACATCGCCCCCACCCCAACCAAAACCACAGCCACCACCCCCCCCAACCCAAACGAGGACGAAAAAGAAGAAGACCCCTACGCCACCCAAGTCTGGGGTCTCGTCTACGCCCTCTCCCCCGCCGACGAAGCCCAGCTCGACCTCAACGAGGGCGTGCCCTACGCCTACCAGAAGGAGCACCTCGCCGGCATCGATTTCTGGCCCTCCACCACCACTGCCCCCACCCCCACCACCACTTCTTCCTCTACCACCCCCACAGTAGACATCACCACCACCCCGCCCTCCCAAGCCGAAATGCTCGTCTACATTGACCGCTACCGCAACATGGGCGGGCACGAACCGCGCGCGGAATATGTCAGCCGGATGAACCGGGGCATTGCGGATGCGTTAAGGGAGGGCGTGCCGAAGGGGTATGTGGAGCGGGTGTTGAGGGCGTATATCCCTGGGGAGGAGGAGGTGTTGGGCAGGGTGGTGGATGTGGGGCTGGAGAGGGCGGCGATGAGGAGGGCGAGGGGGTTGGATCGTGATGGGGCCGGGGAGGAGAAAGGGGAGGGGGGTAAGGGGTTGCCTGCTGCTGCTGCTGCTGCTGGTGGTGGGCCGTCGGGGTCGGGGGTTGTGTCGAGGGTGGGGGTGGAGGAGGAGGAGGAGTTGCCGGAGAGGGCGAGTCGGGTTTGTTATTTGGGGGAGGAGGGGGTGTAGATGGGGGTTGTGGACAGGTGAGGGGTTGGCGTTGGTTAAGAGCACATGTTACACCTCTAGAGAGGAACACAGAAGAGTTGATAGACCAGAGTCGGGCGGGCAGTGTCGGCTCCAAGTAATACAACCACTTTCACCTCGCTTGCCGCGAAGCCATACAGCGTGAGGTGGCTTCTGAAATTTGTTTGATTCGCAGTGACTCAACCCAAATTACCCCTTGGTGGCGTGTCTCAGCAGTTTAGGTCACCTTGCAATGAGACGGCTCCCGTGAAAGCTGTCGATTAGGATAAGAGTTCAGAACCTCGTATCACAACAGGGCAACTGAGAGGGCAGAATCTGGTGAAGATCATTCATTCACATCTGTAAACATAATCCATCAGGTATAACCCATATCGCTATCCGCTAAACCAACGCGCCGACCATGCAGCCGCGATGAACCAAATAAAACAGTCCCGTTGTCAACCATAAGCCTGGCCTTCTCTTAAGTCTCCCTATGCTATGACACATCGATTTACTCGAAACCCTCCCAGACGTCACCGCCGGGGCAGGTGTAGCTGGTGAGACCGCCCTGGTAGATGTCGACCTATTCATCGTTAGCAAGGGGTCCTGCTTTACAGAGGACTTAATCAACTTACCGTGATGCCGGGGTCATCCTGAGGAGCGTAGGTGGGGATGCTGTAGAGCTTGTCGGACGGGGGCGCGGCGGTGCCGCTGCCGGAGACGACGACCTGGGCGCACTCGGCGTAGAACTGGGGGGTGTTGGCCTGGTGCAGGGCCAGCAGCTCGTGGCGGATTAGGTAGTTGCCAGGGGCGAGGTTCGAGGGAACCTTGCTGCTCCACTCGAGCGTCTTGAGGACGATGCCGGTGCCCCAGTCCTCCGAGTTGGGGTCGCTGCCGAACAGGCCCATCTGGTCGATCTTGAACCAGCCCTGGCCCTCACCCGTGCACGAGGAGCCGAAGTCGCCGTCGCACTTGTACATCCAGACCATGACGGGGCCTTGCGCATGCGTCCACTGCGACCAGACGGCCGTGACGTTCTGGCCGGCCTCGACGGGGGCGCTGAGGTCCGCGCTGGTGCCGCCGTTGCACCGCATCTTGGCGTCGCTCACCTCCATGGTCGGGTTGTAGTCGGGCCATTGGAACTGGATTGTCTCGGGGCTGCTGTCTCGGGGAAAAGCCGGTGTAGCCGGGGGTAGGTGGTGCCACCGATGATGTAGCTGGTGACGGCGCCGTGGCCGGCATCGAGCGGCACAAGATCAACCGCGGCATGGTCGTTGAACCGCATGCTGGATAGTGTTGATCCTCGGGGGGTTGGAGAGAAGAAGGTTCAAGCGTTCAAGAAGGGCCCTTTGGCTGGAGAGGATGTGAACGAGGCTGAGCGATGATGAACAAGAACGAAACCAGGATTGAGGAGCGGATCGACGATGGCTTTATAGTCGGCTGGCCCCTGGATGCCAGCATTTCCCCCCCCTCCCCCTGGAAAGGAAGGCGTTGGAAGGACCACTGGATATCTCGGCATCTCTTTGCATCCCGCTCGGGAGTGGAGGGTATCGAGGGTGTCGTGACGGGGGTCTTGCCGTGGGGGATAATCTATCGCATGGGCAAAAAACCTGGTTTTCTTTATGACTGGGATGACGAGCATCCTTTCTCGACGCAATGTGGATGGAGATGACGGCGGCTTGCGGACCGAAGGGGGCTTGTCACTCGTGTTGGAGCATGCGAGCAATACAGAAATGGAGAGCAGGGGACGAGATGATCGACATCGTTCGGAGCGTGAGGTTGTTCCCAACTTAGTTCACCAAGCGGAGCAACCAACGGAAGACAGGGCCAGGGCTCCGAGTAAGACCGATTCGGGTAAGAGACAAATGCCTCCCCACATGATGGTGTTGATGCCGCTGGAGGCTTGCCAAGGCTAGATGAGGCAGCACAAGAGTGTGGGGTCTGGGGAAGAAACTGGGATTGATCGATTGGGCGACGAGGCGACGTGCGGGAGCCTGACGGGACGGCGTCTCAAGTTGAGGGTGGAGGGCGACGGGGCTGCAATCACAGGCGCCAATGGCATAGCGTTGGATATTCAGGATAAAGGGTGAATAAATTGCAGACGGCCCAGGTCCACGGAATGGCTTGCATGGGGCCGTAGCATTTGCCAGGAGAAGAACCGAAGGAGAACCGAAGTGTCGTCATCTGCCTTCGCTACCGTGACGGTGCCTCTTCCGTTTTGATCATTTGAAGTTGAAGGATAGAGCAGTGATATCTCCTGAGAATCGCCTGCATGAGATTTCGGCTCCTCGCAGATGTCAAAAAATTGGGTATTTTCAGGTCGTGTGGAGGGCCGCTTGGGCACAGCAGGGAGCGCTGGGCCGAAAGCCGGGGCTACTGAAAATCCCAACGCAGATCCATGGCCGATCTGTACCCGTTTGAAGATGACGGCTGCGAGTTGCAGTTGCGCAACGGCGACGGAAGGAGGTTGTTCGGGAGATGCTCAGTTAGGAATCTTGGCGGGGCAGGCGGGCTTCAGGTTCTCGAGGTTGGGTGCCCACTGGTGCCTCAGGGTACCAGCCGTCTGCAGCCACCAAGCTTGGCAGGGCAGCAGAAGTGCAGTGGGGGTCTTTCCAAGGCTCCGTTGTCGCGTCGCGTCAGCCACTTCAACAACGTCATGCCTTGAACTCTCCCTGTAAAGCTGTGCAGATTATCATCTGATTTCGAGGACGTTTTCCCAACTTGGCTTTTTTTTGTTCTGTTGAAGGACATATGCTGTCTAATCATTTTCCTGGCACGCCGAAACCCTGCTTATCTCGTGCATGGCTGAAGAAGCTGGTGGTTGTGTAGGTAGGTAGGCAGGTGGTCTTATTGCTGTCTGGGTCTCGGCCGACGATTTGGGATCCGGTCCCCATTGTGACACGCGAGAAGATGATGGCCCCAGAATATGCGAGAGTAAGTATCGCAGAAGCAGGTTTTATGTGGCTGCCATCGAGCCCATGATGCCCTAGCGAGGGGGGCCTGCCCTCAGTTCATGTAGATAGAAAGCGAGTAATGTGAGTTCGGAATTCCAGGAGCAAAAGGGAGTCGCAGCTTGATCGCGTTGTGTTCGTTCCACCATCATCATTTGTTTGCATCTTTGCAGCCACTAGGTCGCACAGTTCCATGGCTTTCATCACTGACTCGCTATCGAGCGGACTGGTAGGTTGTTGGCTCTTGATCTCCATCGGATAGTCCATGATAGTGAGTGGCCGAGGAAGTTGCGAAGGACAGTGTCACTTCCATTTAGTCTCGCAATGGTGTCACAGGTAAGACATTGCTCCCCCCATTCAATGCTTCTGAAACGAGGAATCGAGAAAACGACTGGAATGTTGCCTCCTTACCCAGGCATCACCCAGTGTGCCAAAGGAGTTGTCTCTCATGGGGTGGAAGATGTTTGAGACTCGCTATTCATCCCATCTGCGACTGCTCGTTGTCACTTCTTGCCTGCGCACTTCTAGTGCGCTTTGGAACACGGGTAGTTGCAAACGCTGCAAACCTTTCGGCTGGCCGCGTGGCTTTGGAATTATCACGGGTTATTCTTACGTGCCGACCTCGAAAACCAGGGACTGGCAAATGTGAACACCTTCCGAGTAAGTTTCTTCCCTGAATTTGGTGGCATTGTGTTTCTCGAACTCGGCCGTTCTCGATGATTGCTGTTCTCGTTACCGACCATTTGTTCGCATCGGAACAATCACCAACTTGTGGCGTACTTTTTTCTGGCCTAGGTGCTAACAAGATCATCAACTAGAAGCTATTACGAAACCCGCAACATTTAGGAATTTCCAAGGGCTTTGAGCGAGGCGCGCTGGATACTCTCTTTCACTTACCTACAAATCCTGCTCAACATGTCATCGCCGGCTGCCGACTCACGAGGGCGGCCGATGTCAGAAAACTCGGCCTCTTCGCCCTCCAGAGCGACATTTAAGACCTTTGGCCAAGAGTACCAGTACGCCGAGACCTTGCAGAATCCTTTCCCCGAAGTCATATTTTCTGGGCCGGCAAATACAGCCACCAGCGCAGCATCGACGTCGCCAGCCGCGGTCGGCGGCATCGACGGCACCAACGACAGCCCAGCCGATAATGACACCCGCTCTTCCCTCCGCTTTGGCACACCGGGCAGTAAGGAGCCAGCGATGCACGAGGATGTTTGGGTTGAGCCCGCCGAGGCACCCTGGTACAAGACCATCTCGCGGGGAAGGTGGGCTGCTATCATCATCTGCACCGTGGGCATCACCGGCGTCGTGCTGGCGATTCTGGGCGCCATGAACAAGCTCTCAGGAGAAAGGTCCGACTCCAGCGACCCCAGCCCCGATTTCCCGACACCCATCGATATGTCCGCTGACCAAGCCAGCTCCTCTAATACCCCGTCTCCCGCCGAGAGCACATCGGCCACCCCCACCACGCTCGTGACCTCAACCACCTCAGGCAACGCAAAACCACAGTAAGCAGCCCCCCCCCCCCATCACTCCCCTGACCCCCAGTGCCTTCAGCCATGCACCCTCCAGACCTCCTTAAACTAACACCCAAACCCCCCACCAACGCAGAACACCCCCAACCACCAAAATCGACTGCCACGACCCCTCCAGCTTCCTGACCCCCATCTCCTGGATCGGCACCACCGTCGGCGCCTACAAAACCGAGTTCGCCTTCGACCGGCCAACAAGCCGCCTCGGGCTGCTGCAGCGCGTGCCAGGACCGCGCAGAGGGCGGGTGCGCGGGGTGGCTGCACAACCCCAGCTCGCAGTTCACCCCCTGCACGCTGGTGGTGATCAACGTGGACCAGGCCGACAAGGGCGACGCCAAGAGCTGCCCGCGCGGCCGCGCGGCCACGACCTTCTTTCTGGCGGGCGTGGCGGAGGACGGGAGCAATGGCACGGCGGGCATGGGGCCCTGCGCGTTGGAGGGGCATGTTGCTTGAGCTGGGTTAAGCCGGGGGGTTACTACCTATCTGCGATGCGATGCCCATGGTGGAGGGAAGGATGTATTGTATTGTACTGTATGGGTCTCTTTTTTTCTGTTGCTCCCCTGATGGCATGGCGGGTGGGGGAGGGGGGGGGGGGCGGAAGGGGAAATCTCGGGACGGCGTTTGTTTGCTCTGGGCGGGATGACATAGCAAGAGATAGATACCACGGTGACGGATTGAGGGCAGAGAAATTGACATCTTCGGCATATACCCATTATTCATGGATCACGCTGCATTGTGGTCAGCTGCCGTCGTAACTGTTTGGTTTGACTAGCTCAGGAACGGGGACAAGGCAAGGCAAGGCTGAAGACAGAAAACGTACAAGTACATGGAATTCCCAATAACCTGTCTATTCGACCATTACCAACCTGCTTCAGTTAAACCCGGCCCATGACGTCTGTTGCAGGCACATAAGAGAGAAAAAATGCGGCAGGGCAAAGGCTCAATATCAAGGATCCCCTCGTCACTTCAGCTTTTTTGTCTGTTCCATTTCCATTTCCACCCTAAGCTGAAATAACTCCCGCTGTCCTACACAGAACCCACGAAACCACCCACCCCTAATCCAATACACGCACAAACCCGCACACCCCCTCCCGTTTAGAGACGGAGCATCTTGGCGGCGTACTGCTCGATGAGCGCCTCGGTAGGGAAGCTCATCTCCTCCAGCTTCTGGGCATACGGGGTGGGGACGTCGGCACCCGTGACACGCTGGGCGGGGCCGTCGAGGTAGTCAAAGGCGTACTCCATGGTGAGGGCGAGGATCTCGGCGCCGACGCCGAAGGCGGGGAAGCTGGACTCGATGGCCATCAGGGGGTGCGTCTTCTTGACCGACTTGACGATGGACTCGATGTCGAGCGGCTTGATGCTACGCAGGTTGATGACCTCGACCTCGACGCCGTACTTCTTCTTGAGGTTCTCGGCGGCCACGAGCGACTGGCCGACGCAGCGGGAGAGGGTCACCATGGTCAGGTCCTTGCCAGCCCGCTCGATCTTGGCCTTGCCGAAGGGAAGGACAAAGTCGTCCTTCTGCGCGGCCTCTGACATGGGGAAGGACTGGCCGTACAGAAGCTCGTTCTCGAGAACAACCACCGGGTTGGGGTCGCGGATGGCGGCCTTGAGCAGGCCCTTGGCGTCCTCAGCCGACCACGGGGAGACGACCTTGAGACCCGGGATGCTGCCGTACCAAGCCGAGTAATCTTGCGAGTGCTGGGCACCGACACCGGCGGCGAAGCCGTTGGGGCCACGGAAGGTGATGTTGCAGGGCTGGATACCGCCGGACATGTAGAGGGTCTTGGCGGCCGAGTTGACGACCTGGTCGATGGCCTGCATGGCGAAGTTGAAGGTCATAAATTCGCACTAGTGCGAAATTGCGTCAGCGTCTCCTGTGTCTTGTAGTTGCATTTTCGGTTGGCTGGAGCGCCTGTCTCGCTGCACTTACCACAGGGTGCAGCCCGCTCAGCGCGGCGCCGACGGCCAGACCGGTAAAGCCACTCTCCGTGATGGGAGTGTCGATAATCCGCTTCTCACCGAAACGATCGAGTAGACCCTTGGTAACCTTGTATGCGCCGTTGTACTGGGCAACCTCCTCGCCCATCACGAACACCTTCGAGTTGGCCTCGAGCTCCTCCGCGAGCGCCTCGTTCAGGGCTTCACGGACTGTGTACTCCTTCACACCGGAGGCATCGGCATATGTCCGTTTTTGTAAGCTGGGCACAGCGGCGGCTCTGGTGAAAAAGGGAGTGGTCGCAGTAGGGCGAATGGCGGAAGCACGGGCGGTGGCAGCGAGCCGGGCCGCTGGCCGGAGGTAGCGCGACATGATCTAGATTTTGTGTTGGGGAAGAAGATAAGGAGGAAGGAAGGGCCGGAGTCTGGAAAGGAGATCTCCTGGCGGGATATTAAACTCAATTGCAATACCCGCTCGCGGTACGGAACGAGAGGGATCAACCAGATCGGCAAGAATGGAAGAAGTGGTGATGCAGGATGTGGGAGGCGTGAGGGTTGCCCAGAGGGAATTTTTCTTGCATCGGGCAATTGAGAAGCTTGGGACCAGCATCCGGACTTTTGACGTTGAACCCCAACGAATCAACCCGCGCTAGTGCAGGATTGGCTTAGTGCGCTGGACCCCTGTGCGATTGTCCGCGAGCTTGGTCCGCTAAACTTCAAGTTTGACAGCTGAGCACTCCACTGCGCCGATAACGGTGGAGATCTTAGCGCAGAAACAAGAGACGATTAACAGAGTCCAGATGTTTGATGAGATGGCTCATTCAGGGATACCTGCTGGCCATTATACACTGTGTAGAAGGGCGGTTGTCGTTCGGGACTCCGCGTTGCAGTGGTTTGTGTGACGCTGACCTTTCGACCTGCCAAGCTACCATCACACAGGCGTAGGTTGGGTTGACCAAAAAATATCTATTACGGTGTATATACATGAAGGCGGTGGGCACGGTATCGCCAGATCCCGTTGACGATATTCCCGGTCCCGGGGTATTAGTACTGAGTATACCATTCCAAAACCATCCCACTGCATTTACCCATCCACATTACAATGCAGTCCTTTAATCGTCCCATCGTAGCATATGCAGAGAGTCATCCCATAACGAGGCGTTTAGTTGGCGGGTTTGCGGCCGACCATCAGGTACATCGGGGTGAAGAGGTCCTTCTTGGCGCCGGCAACGAGGCCGTCAGCGCCCTTGGCGAGCGAGTCGGCCGTCTTCTTAGTCCCCTTGGGAGCAAGGCCGATGGTCTCGAGGAGACCGGTGAAGACGTGCACCGCCCGGCGGCCGGTGTGGGTCATGCGGAGCACGGTGAAGAGATCCCAGTACGACTGCATGTACTTGGTCTCGCCGGCAATACCCCAATACCACGGGATGGAGTCACCCCGCTTGGTGAGATCCTCGTGGTGCATCAGCTCGAAGCCGGCGGCCTTCATGGCGGCGAGACCCTCAGAGATGGTCACCATGTTGGAGATGCCGTTACCCTCCTCAATCGCGAGGCGGATGTCGCGGTGCTCCAGGTTGTTGTTGTCGTAATTGTCCGTCATCAACCACTCGTAGACGCCGAAGACACCGCCGGGCTTCAGCACGCGGAAGATTTCGCTGTAAACACCCTCCAGCTTTGGGGCGTGAACGGTGGCCTCGATAGCATAGACGGCATCGAATGACTCGTCGGCGAACGACATTTGCTGTTGAAGTTAGCGCGGGCTCTGTGATTGTATGATCGAGGTGGCCATACCATGAAGTCGCCCTTGACGTATTTGAGCTGGTTCGACAGACCCTCCTGGGCCGCATACCGTGTGGCACGCTGGATCTGGTAGTCGTTGTTGTTGAGACCCGTGATGTGCGCGTCGGTGAACTTGGCAATCTCTCTCGCTGGCCCACCAATACCGCAGCCAACGTCAAGAACCTTCATGCCGGCCTGGATGCCGACCTTCATGGCAAGGTAGTGTTCGTGGCGCGCAATGGCCTGGTAGAAGGACTCGCCGATCGAGTACCGGCAGAAGTGGAAGCTCTGGCCCCAGCCATACTCGTACAGGTCGGTGGCAAGGTTGTAGTAGCTGCGCGGGGAGGAGCGGTTAGTGCTGTGCCTCGGCCAGGAGATGTGATGAATCGTCTGAACTTACTGCCTTGTGAGAGTAGCATACTCCTTGGTCCGCGCCTGGAGCCAGTCAGTATGTGCCACGGTTGGGCAGCTGGCGGTGAACCCACCTCTCTGTCGGCATCGGTCTCGGTCTCAGCGCTCTTGTTGTCAAAGTGCTTGAAGTACTCGTTGACAGCAAGCTCCTTGGCGTCCTTGTCCTTGGAAAGCATAGCAGCGAAACCACCAGCGGCCTCGGTCGACTTGCCGTGGAGAGCCTTCATGAAGGCAGCATCGCGCTGGTGGTCCTCCTTTTCGAGGGCGGCTTTGGCGAGGGGAGCCATTGTGAAGTGGTGGGTATTAAAACGGTGAGTTAAAAAGTCTTGATTGAAAGTGAGGAAGGAGAATGGAAAGTGAGACGGCAGGAAGGAGAATGGTATTCTGGTGTGTTTGTTGTCACGAAAGAAAAAAAAGTTTCACGGGCCCCTATTAATTATAGGCGTTAGACGATGGCTCTGTCAAAGGGGCCAGGGTGCCCGATAGCCGACGCCAATCTAACGAATCTCGTGGCTCAATTGGAGGGACGTGAATTCTAGGGGGCGCTCCACACTGGCACATGCAAATCCAAGCCAGAATCCAGGAACCAGAGTGGCGGGCCAATAAACAACAGAGAAGACCGCGACTTCAGAAATGCGAACGCGGTCTCGCATTCGGGTTTAACCATGAAACTATCGAGCTTAAATACTTAAATAGCACCTTGCCCCCGAGAGTTTGGAGTATTCGTGTTGCCAGTGGAACTCAAACCCGTTTTCGCGTTGGTGTCCTTTGGAAATGTTGTTTGGAAACGCGAATTCGAAGGGGAAGGCGGTGTCGCGAAAAGAACTCGAACACGAATAAGAAACGCACGAACCACATATTAGCCACAGCTTGCCAAGCAACAGTGGCGGTAGATAAGGCTTATCAATCAACCAGCCACGGAAGGCTTCCAAACTCGCCTCATTCATCGCCAAAGCCGAGTCCAATCTTCGATTCAATCATCATCAACCACCCCACGCGCGCAGCCATCACAGCTCATTCTTGTGACCGGCACCTTCCGATAATTATCACTACCCCGACGCCTTTGACGCGAAACCCCAACGCCGACAAACCACAATGCCACCACAAATCAAACAAGACCTGAACCGATCCGGATGGGAAACGACCGACTTCCCGTCCGTGTGCGAGAACTGCCTGCCGGAGAACCCCTACGTCAAGATGCTCAAGGAGGACTACGGGGCCGAGTGCAAGCTGTGCACGCGGCCCTTCACCATCTTCAGCTGGTCCGGCGACGGGCGGGCGCAGGGCCGCAAGCGGCGCACCAACATCTGCCTGACCTGCGCCCGCCTCAAGAACGCCTGCCAGTGCTGCATCATGGACCTGCAGTTCGGCCTGCCCATCGTCATCCGCGACAAGGCCCTCGAGCTGATCGCCCCGGGCCCCCAGAGCGAGATCAACCGCGAGTATTTTGCGCAGAATAATGAGAAGGCGATTGAGGAGGGGAGGGCTGGCGTGGAGGAGTATGAGAAGGCCGATGAGAAGGCGAGGGAGCTGTTGAGGAGGCTGGCGCAGAGCAAATCTGTATTTTAGGAAGGGGAGGGAAGTGGATACGGAGGGGGAATCTGGTTGGCGGGGGGAGCGCGACGGGAGGGAATCCGGCGGGTCGGCGCGGGGCTGGGTGGTTCCGGGGCCGATACGGACGAGGGACTCGAGAGCGGCGGCGAGGGCAGGCGCGAAGGCTGGTCCGCGAAAGGGGCCGCTCGGTGCGAATGCCCCGCCACCAGGACCGCGGGACTGGATGCCGCCGAACGACCGTAACATCATGTCGTTGTTCGTCACAGGGATCGAGGACGACCTGCCCGAGTACAAGATCCGCGACTTTTTCAAGGTGTTTGGCAAAATCAAGTCGCTTGTGGTGTCACACATGACACATTGTGCGTTCGTCAATTATGAGACACGCGACGGGGCGGAGAAGGCGGCGGCGGAGTGCAAGGGGCGAGCGGTTATTGCGGGTTGCCCGTTGCGCGTGCGATGGAGCGTACCGAAGGCGATTGGGACAATGGACAAGGAGGAACGCACCGAGATGCTGCGTGATGGGCGGTCGGCTTTCCCGCAGACAAACCGAAGAGGACCCCAAAAGGCTATCGAGGGTGGGGCCGCGCAGTCGGGCAGCTCGACTGCTGCTGACGGAGACGACCCCTCGGGGCTTGTCGTGGCTGCGCCGCCGGGAGCCGCCGATGTACAATACGCCAGCTTGTCTGGCAACTAGGCTTGGTTCTTGTCTTCTTTCCGCTTGCATGGCGTTTGGGTTGCTGGTTTGGGTTGGAACGGCAAAATTAATCTTTGGTGCATGACTGTTGAGCATGATGTATATTCTGTTGTTACATTGAGGGGTATCATAGACGGCTATACAATACACGGCAGGGTGCCTGACCGACGGCTGCGTTTTTGCGGTTCCATCCCGTCCCCCGGCTCGACAAGGCTATCGTTCCTATCTCTTTCGCTACCTCTCGGAGCAGCACTTGACACCGTCCATCTTCGTGTTGTTTTTCCCCATTTTGATGCTATCGTTATCCCCCCGTTCGGTATGTTCGTGAATCCGGAGTTCTGATAGAGGTCTGGTCAGCAGTAGGCTAAGATGGCGTGGGGGTGGTGGTGGCCTACTGTATGTGCCCCCCTCCTCTCGCTTCCCTTGTACAAGGTTGGCCTTGAGGAAGCTGGCAACTTCCTGGGCATGTTGGATCGCAGGTTGTATCGACGGGTCGGAGGGTGACAGAGACGCCTTATCGCGGAACCCCTGGCGGATCGATTGCTTCGCAGCGTCGAGCGTTCGCACGTCGCCTACCCGATTTCACATGTGTTAGCCGTGGATGCCGGGCGAGGTAAATGTTGGGTCCTCGGTACCTTCAAAGGCAATCCTTGCCGCACGCATAAGTTGTCTGTATGCTGTCAAAGCCGCCATTGTGTGTGTATCTGCTGGAAACCGTCTCCTTAAGTGCGTCTTTCTCGATTGTCTGTAGAATTGGAAAGGTCTTAGATGGCCTCTGTCGCAAATGTTTAAGTTGCCGCCGCAGAGAGGCAAACTTGGGTGGGCCGGCAATCGGGTTTGGCTTGATTGGGTGAGATAAAAAAGATTCAGTGGGGCACCCCAGTCGGGCAGGATCAAAAAAAATATTCCAAGCGACAGCCAAAACTGACCTGCCCCTCCAACCTCCACCAATCTGCGATATTCAGACATTTCGCTCGTCACCACAACGAAATGGAAGCTACTGTCGTACCACTTCCGCTCCCCGCCCTTCCCGAGGGCTGGGAATCCGAGAACAACTTCATTCCTAAGGGCAAGATTACCAGCTTCACCCAGCGCACTCTGGAGCCCGTCGGCCCTTACTTTCTCGCCCACGCCCGCCGTGCCCGCCACAAGCGCACTTTCTCCGAAGATGACCGGATACAGGCTCAGGAGCGCGCCAAGAAGGTCGAAGAAAATGACGACGGCGAGATCAGCGAGCCCGAGGACCCCATGATGCTCCAGCGCGAGGCCAAAGACTGGAAGTCGCAGGACCACTACAAGGTTCTGGGCCTGTCCAAGTACCGCTACAAGGCCACCGAGGAGCAGATCAAGCGCGCGCACCGTAAGAAGGTGCTGAGGCATCACCCCGATAAGAAGGCGGCCGCCGGTCGTGCCGACGACGACAACTTCTTCAAGTGCATCCAGAAGGCCACCGAGGTGCTCCTCGACCCCATCAAGCGCCGTCAGTTTGACTCGGTCGACGAGGAGGCCGATGTCGAGCCGCCCACCAAGAAGCAGCTGGCTAAGGGCAACTACTACAAGCTGTGGAGCCAGGTCTTCAAGTCCGAGGCCCGCTTCAGCAAGGTGCACCCGGTGCCGACCTTTGGCGACGACAAGGCGACCAAGGAGGATGTTGAGAACTTCTACAACTTCTGGTACAACTTCGACAGCTGGCGTTCATTTGAATACCTGGACGAAGACGTCCCGGATGACAACGAGAACCGCGACCAGAAGCGCCACATGGAGCGCAAGAACACCAACGCGCGCAAGAAGAAGAAGGCCGAGGACAACGCTCGCCTCCGCAAGATGCTCGACGACTGCTCCGCCGGCGACGAGCGCATCAAGCGCTTCCGCCAGGAGGCCAACGCCGCCAAGAACAAGAAGCGTTTCGAGCGTGAGGCCGCTGAGAAGAAGGCCGCCGAGGACGCCCGCCTCAAGAAGGAAGCCGAGGAGAAGGCCGCCAAGGAGGCGGAGGAGAAGGCCAAGATGGACCGCGAGGCAACCAAGAAGGCTAAGGAGGCGGCCAAGAACGCCGTCAAGAAGAACAAGCGTGTGCTGCGTGGCTCGGTGAAGGACGCCAACTACTTCGTCGAGGGTGACGCATCACCGGCGACCATCGATGCCGTCCTCGGCGACGTCGAGCTGATCCAGGCCAAGATTGACGCCGACGAGATCGCCGCTCTGGCTGGCAAGCTCAACGGCCTGAAGGTGGCCGACGAGATCAAGGGCGTGTGGAAGGCGGAGGTCGAGAGGCTTGTCGGTGCTGGCAAGCTCCAGGAGGGAGAGGCCAAGGCGCTCTCTGCTTGAAGGATATCAACGTCATCTACGATTACATGATTGAGGCTGATGAAAGCTAATAGAGGCGTTGCGAGAGTGTTCTGCTTCACCGGTTGGTGTTTTTCCTGGAAACTCTAGTCAGTGGATGCCAACCCCCATAAAAAGTGTTTCACTCCGTATTGCCCCAGCATGCAATGTTCTGCCTGTGTCAAGCACACCTATCCTCATGTGCAGGTACAACTACACGTCCAGGCTAGCATGTGGTCATTTCTTCTTTGCACCAGCGCCACAGCTACTTGGGTGACAAAGAGCAGGTAAAGTATCCATGTACCGACCAGCGGCTTCTGATTATGCATGTTCCATCTCATTTAAGATCCCTCTGGAATGTGAGCCCTCTTTTAAGCTCGCTCAAAGCCGGCAGTGTCGAGTTGCCTCATGATATTGTGAACGGCAAAGCCCTCGGCGTGGTCAAATGCCCTAAGGGGGCAGGCGTATGTGCTCCGCATCAACTGGCCCATTCTGGCTTTTGCGTGAGCTAGCTTGTGATTTATCCCCCAAAGAGTAGTACTGCAGAATTCTTCACCTCCAGTAGGTAACAACGAAGCAGAAGGAAGGAAACATCACGCATTTGAAGTCCCTGTGATTTTGAAGCACTTACATGGAGTTTGGATTGCAACCAGCGTGGCCCTAGCAGTTGAGATTCCGTCAAGTATCACAACATGTGTGGTTTGATAGGTACAACACCATAAATATATCAACAAGGACCACCGTTTAAGGTACCATTCCCAGGCATCAGTGCATCATAGCTACTGTCAGAGATCTTCCTCCGTTTTCGGCAGGCTTCCATATCAACACACACCTCAAGTCACCATGACCAACCTCAAGTTCGCTTAGCCAACAAGGGGGATTTGAAGAAATTGATACAAATTAGCATCGGCCCTAGCAACGATAACCAAGGAATCCTCACTAGGTACCCGCTGGCAGACAGCACTCACCATCCCGACACTGTCCCTGCTGCTTGGGAAGATGCTATCCTCGACTTTATCTATAGTGAAGGCGGGTGGTACACTTGCGTAGTAGCAGAAGTGGAGGAGACGCAGGAGATTGTTGGATACTGCGTTTGGGAATGGTACGAGTACGACGAGAAGTACAAGAGAATTGACGAGGCCTACAGACCGACCAAAGTCCAGGCAATTTGGGATTTGATGGGTACGTTTCATGCTCTTAGGAATGCTTCACCTGTCATGATTCACACTTGACCATCACTAACGTGTGGTAATGCCAGGCGCCGAGGAACCAACACATCGGCCTCCGCGGTCATACGGCCCTGAAGCATACCGAGACCCATTTCTGCAGGCTAGATGGCACGCTGAAGGGCCGGGAAGTAACTACGGTCTTTCCCACGAAGCCCTTCTCGTTACCTCGGGTTCGACAGGCTTTTCCCAGTTCTGGCAGATCGACCATGTGGCGGTAGATCCGCGCTCCGAGTACAGCGATGTGTGGGAGAAGCTGGTGAGATGGGGCCTAGAAATGGCGGAGAAGGAGGAGTTGTCGTTGGTTGTGGCCTGTCACCCGTTAGAAATGGGCCTCTACCACCGGCTCGGGTTCAGATATAGGGGCTCGTTGATGACCGGTGTCTTTTGGAGGGGCCGGGGGCCTCGAGCTGGAATGGTTCCAAAAGGATCCCAAGCCAGCGGAGCCGCAGCCGACAGAGACATCCGTGGCAAGTCAGACTGTTCCGACTGTTCCCTGTCAAATCGGTTCAAATCAAGGACAGGAGGAAGACACATCGTTCAATCAGTAGCAGACGTCGTGCGTGGTTCATTGCGATCACGTAACCTCTTGGCTGAGCCCATAACACCTTCAATAAATACTCATGGACGTCGACATCCCTCGGAGGTGTGATATTGATCTACTCGTAACACAACATCAAGCTTGACATGTCCTCCTCGCAACATTCCACCTCAACCCCTGAACCACCCCTCCCCTTCCACTACCCTCCCCGTTCACCCCCAGCCCCCTCCTCACCATTTACTCATAAACATAACAAAACGGCCCATCCACCACGCTCACCAGCTCCTTAATCGGATACACCTTATCCGCCACCACCCCCAAAAACACCGGATCCTCCAAACTCTGCAACCTCCCCCCACCAAACATACTCGTCCCCCCGGCAATCACCTGCGTCCTCTTCGCCAAATCCTGACTCTGCCAGATCGTCCACGTGCGATCAATCATACCATGATGCACCCAAAAGGCAGGATCATTCGGCGACGTGTAGAAATCACCACCCGGATCACCCGCAATCGTAAAATGCCCCGCGCCGTGCACGCCCATCCCGCCACCACCGATGCCGAACCCGCCCGTGCCCTGCATGACGGTCTGGAAGGTGCCGATGTCGGCCGAGGAGGTGATCAGGCTGACGATGTCCTGCGTGCGTGCGTATTTGCTGGAGAGCTGGTTGGAGATGTCGCGGCGCAGGCACCGCGGGTTGTCGCCGTAGCCGTCGGTGCGCGGGTTGCGGGGGGGCGCGGGGTCGACGGAGGGGGAGACGGGCCCCAGGTGCACGACCATGCTGGAGGGAGGGGGTGTTAGAAGTGGGGGTGGGTTGGGTGGGAGGAGGGTGGGGGATGGGCAGAAAGGGGAGGATAGGCGGGATGGTAATGGACTTATTTAGTGGATTAAGGGACTTACTCCTTGAAGGGTCCCTTCTGGACGCAGCCACCACCGTTGCCTGCCGGCACCATCCCCGACGCCTTGTGGTCGATCTTCTCGCCGTTGCCGCTCAGCGAGGTGTCGCTGCCGTCGAAGATAGGCGATGTCTCGGGGTCCTGGGCCCAGCGTCCCCAGTCCCAGTACTATGGGGTTGTTAATCGACGATACATGATGCCGACAGGGTTGGGGAGGCTCACAGGCTGGGTTCCGTTATACCCGCACTCGGTCTGGAGCACACGCTCAAACGCCCAGGTGTAGTAGCGGTGCCACGACAGGAAGTTACCCTGAGAAGAGTTAGCGTGATTGCTATCCGCATGACTTGGACACGGGAGACACATACGGTGCCGTGGATGGTCATGGTCTGGTTCATGTGAACGACGACAAAGTCATCGTACCGCGACTTGGCGCCGGGGAACTTGGTAGCGTCCAGCTTGGACGGCTTCTTCATGATACACAGCATGGCAGCGATGTACGCCTTCCTGTCGTCGGCCGACAGGTCACCCCTAGTTCTGTTAGTCGAGGTTCCATCCAACTAATAAGAGTATGGCTTACCATTCGCGGCGCACTTGGAGGTTCTCCTTAGTGCATGTCTTCGACTTGGCAAGCTGGGCATCGATGTTGGGTCTGCCCTTGTTCTGGAGATCCAACACTGCATCGCCCGACACGAGGCCGGCGAGCAGGAGCCAGGGGATGACAAGCATCCCGGCGAGTGAGAGACGAGCCATGGTGGCTACGCTAACGACAACGAGCTTGGTTGACGAGAGAGTTTCTCCGAGAAGAAAAAAGCAGGAGGATGGTCCAGGATTATAACCTTCCTCGGCCCCCATGTTTGCCCGGCTCGAGCTTGTCCCCCCCTGGGGCTCCGCTTCTCGGAACGTTACTATCTTCCAGACGATCACCGCTTTGCCGCGCTCCAAGCCCCTGCCCGGGATGCTTGATCGGCAGATAACATGGTGGCGTTCAAGATGCGCCCGATGCGCCTACAACTATACCATGTAAGGGTGTGAATGAAAAATGTAAACAAGGATGTCGTCGCCTACCCATGGCTCCATGGGCCATGGCATGCAGCAAGTCAAAAGCAGTGTAACTATCGGAGCGCCCTCTTTCGGATCCCGGCAGATGCGAGCAAGCCTCAAGAGCTTTCCATGCTGTGTCGAATGGATGGTCTCCTGGAAGCCCATGATAAGTACGAGGCATCCACCCGGATGTCAGCCTGCTGCCGCGTCTTCAAATTAAACCCTGTGGGTTGGCTCGCTAGGGGACTTGGAAGCGGGTGGCTGGCGTGGGCTCAAAAATAGTCCGAACAACGGCCGGCAGAAGAAGCGGTCCAGGTTCCGGGCAGCAAGAAAAAACTAAGTTGTATCGGTTGGTAGTTGGGTGCATGGGAGTATAACGGTGAAACAACCCCAGCCCGGGACCAGTCGGAGACTCCAGCTCTTGGTATCCAGTTCGCCGGGAGAGGGACGGTGAGCTCGGCTGCCGACTGGTCCGGGTTAATTCGTGCTTAATATATTTCGTCAGCGGGCAAATCTGGGGTAAAATACCCAAATTCCGTGGGGTTATGGCTATACCGCCTTGCAGCCACTGGGTGACGGGCCACTCTGGCCCACCAATATGATTTCCTGCTTTTGATTCAGACTCTGCATCGTTGGGCGCGTGGTCGGTTGCCGGCTACCCCATCCTGCGTAATAAGACGACTCTTGGGGGGCTCTACTTTAATCAAAGGGGGGGAATAAAGTCTGACTGATGACCTCTCCGGATGCATGAGAGCACTATGAGCTCGGTTCTTGGAGGCCGAACCACGGCTCGCCCATGATGCCGCCACCTCGCTTCATGCAAACAACGTAGCACCTCCATCCAACACGTCGCTTCCAGCCCTTGGCAGAGGATCCTCGGCTATTTGCGCGACTTGTCGTCCCCTAGTTTTGGAAGGCGGTGCAGGCGTAAAATAATGAAAATTATGGTTAAATAATATTCATCATTGTCCTAATGCTTGAGAACGAATTCTATGACAGTGCTGGGAGCCTCTATTACACATTGGTGAGAATTGATAATTTGGGCAGGGGGGGAGGATGGAAGGAAAAGGGGGTGGGAGGGCTGCGCGAAGGTTCTTCCGATCGACATGTGCATTCTCAAAACGTCCAAAAGTACCAGGAAACCGCCGTGGGAGGGTGTTATGTAGATTAAACTCAAAGAAGGAAGGACCCAAGAGCCGCTTCTAGAAAGATTGCGTGATATCCAATATACCATGAGTGACCACCTCCTATCGCAAAGTGACAGTCCCATCCAGGATGTGCTGTTGCTCAGCAGAGAGATCTTCGCTTTGCCCACTTGGCGCCGCGGAGGAATATACATTCCATCTCTCATCCTGCCGCTCAGAATCCTGAGCGGAAGAGATCCGGTTCGGGTGATCTGCCGAACCTTGTCACGGGAAATCTGGACGATACCACCTGAACATCACGTCAGAAAGGGCTGACGCAACTGCCCGCTCTCGGCGACAATATAAAAGAGAAAAGTATCGGGATGTGGTCGCTTTCCGCTCGATAGGCCGCTTGGCAATACCACTTCCGAGGTCATCTGCGAAGTTGGGTTGCGGTTCAAACTTAGGTAGGAAGAACGTTGGGCAGTGAGTCTAAACGTTGCTCCATGTTTATCCTTTCATCAGGCCATCTACAAAGAGGGAGCCGTTATGAGGATGTGGTACGAGACAGGGAGTGTTTACATTGGAAACACCAATAGATTGTGAGGGTCATGGATCTCCTATTTGGACTGACGGGCGAGCTCAACATAAAACCAGTTACGGGTCATCGAGGCCAAGGTCAGGCTATCACCGCCTCTCTTCGTCCCTTCTTCAACCCTGCCTTTTCCCCTCTATCTTCAGGGCATGTACCTTGACTAACTCCGTATCATGAAGACATTGTTTTTCGCCCTTTATCTTCCTTTGTTTCACCCAAGCTGGCATCCCTGTATGCTGTACCGGCGGAACAGTCTGGCTAGGTACCTATGTTCGTAGTTTTCTTTATGGTTTGAGAATTGGGTGGCTGTAATTAAAACTCCCACTTTTCAGTCCATCGCCATGTATAAATCTTGCCGTTCAGTCCCTTTTCGCGCACCAACCCTTTTTTCTCCTTTTCGCGCGTTACAATGCCCCCTAGGCGTCGAATCGACTGCCACCAATATTTGGTCATTTGTATGCGCCACGCGTGAGTGCTGAGGGTATTTGGAAACCTAGAGCCGCCGCGATGCCCCGGTACACGAGGAAGGGGAAGGGAATGGAGGTGCTATGGAAAGGCCGGCGATACCCAAATCTCGGCCGTGCGAACAACCTGATGCGGACCTTATCGCGAGACGAAAGTTAGGGACTGCAAGCACCACCATGACTGAGGATGAGCTACAGAGCTTTTGCCAAGATTTACCCCCGTTTATATCAAGTTGCCAAACTATCGCAGGCCCGTATCCGTGCCTGGGCCTCCTCCAATAAAGATGTTATCAAGCATTGGAATGTGGGTGACTTCTTAAACAAGTCGCTGATAACGCGACAGCACGAACCAAGAAACGCTGATTGCCCCCAGAACTGATGAAATATGGAATCGTCGCAACGCTTTGAAAGACAGTAGCGTGCTTATAGCGCAGGGTGGCAGTGGCAGTCATGGCGGTGGTAACTCTATTACAGCAGAACTGCCACCGATTATACATATGAACGGCTCCTATCCGAACTACGTTGAAGAGCTCGACGCGTGTTTGGGTAAAATCCAAGCGGCGGCTTCCCGCTTAGAGTGGCTGTCCGGCGGCTTGAATAGCGACGATTTGGTCAGGAAGGAGATGTTGACTCTGGCACAAACACTGAAAACCAATTTGGAGCGGACAAACCGAGTAAAGAATGTCATTTTACAGAATTTAACCAAGGCGACCGTGGAAAAAAGCGTGGAACAGCCTAGTGGAAGACACGGAGCGGAACGAGGATAAAGACCAACGAAACATGCGGGCAAAGTACGCAGATAGCCTGGCTAGTCCTGAAGACGGCTGTAGCATTACTACCGAGCACGGGACATTGATCTCCAACTTGAAAGACGATGTCAACGCCAAAGAGGGCCAGACCAACCACCAGGGTGGCGGCCCGGAGAATCCCTTGTTGGTCGTCTGTGACCAGTCCGTTGTAGACCTCGGCCCACAGTTTGATATCGGGCTTCCGGATCCAGACCAGCTGTGGAAATGGGAGCCCTCAAGCAAGTGTTCGGACGAGTTATTCAACAACTTCATGCAGGACCCGCATGATTTTGAGAAGTCCCTGTAGCCCTTAGCCTCTGAGGAGCAGCAGGTAGAAGCTGCAAACAGTCAGGCCATCGGAAACAAGGGCAGAATCAAGATCCACGATGGCGTCGAGGAGTGCACGAGCACGTGGCCGACGATCCGGGGATCTGTGAGTTCACAGAAACAGCAATGCCATCGATAGAGGAGGGTCTGGTAACGGAATTTATTATTATTCATACTCCGCTATGCCCTAGGGCGTGCCGGACCCTCAGCTATTTAGTGTACAGGAAAACCGTGCCCTCCCGGGCCGGGTGAAAAACCCATACCAACAATCAAGGAACGATGCGTTTTGGTGAGTCTGCGTATACAAAGAGAGGAGGCCTCCTGGCCTCCGAACGGGGGCGCTTCAGGCCGCCGCTTCCAGCTCGAGCCTCCTGGCTAAGTTGTACATCGGCAGCTTCCCCGAGTCCATCAGCCAGTCGAGGACTCTCCTCGCGAGCCGTGCAGTCGTGGGATTGATGCCGTGTAGAACAGAGTAAAAGTCCCGTCGTGTCCGAATTCCAGTTCTCTCCCATCTTCTAGTCAACGGTGGGGCCAAACACCACACTACCAGGTGTTCGGCAGTCTCTCGTCCCTCGCCACACTCGTAGGCAGGAGTCAGAACCTCCGGGACTCCCCGTGTAAACAAGAAGCCCCGTAAGCCTATTGCTCCCGTCCGGATTTGAATCAGCAGTGAGCTCTTCGCCTTGCTGAGACCGTCGTGCCTCCTTAGGGTTTCGTTCCGGAATAGCGTCTCCTGCTGATGGTCAAAGTCGTCCGCCGGCCTGGTGATTGCCCTGCCGTCCCGTTCCTTTAACCACCTCGCTCTCCAAGCTTCTTCTACTACCATGTTCGTGTCAACGGTTCCCCCCGTCCAGCGCATGACCGTGTCCGCGGCTCTCTCCACCGCCGTAGGCCCTTGAGGTCCCAAGGTTCGCGGTCGGCCCCTGTTGCCCCTCCTCGAGCTAAGTCTCTGCTGTATCTTCGCGGCAGGCGGTGAGGACAACGCTCGCCGCCGTCTTCTTGCCGCCTTGACCGTCGTCCAGATCGGGTCGTTGGAGTCGGTTTTCGAAATCGGCAAGCCCTTTGTTTAGGTACAAGTCCAATGGTGGGACCCACGTCTCTGTCTCGAGGTTACGGATTGGGGTAGACTTAAAGGCTCCCGCCACGATCCGCAAGCTCTTGTTCTGGGCCTTCCTATTTATACCCTCGGTTGTATCAAATCCCGTTCAAATCGCGGGTGCGCCTCCGGGCTTGGATAGATGGAAATCGATATAATATCTGAGCCTGGGACTTGGGTGACTTTCTCAGAAGCGAGGAAACCGACAAGCTCGAGGGCATAAGATCTAGAAGACCTGGTTGCCCTGTTGAGGCCGTGAAACCGTGGAAACGGAGTCTCGACAATGGTGATACCGAGACTCTTCCTTCACTGACTACCCAAGCGTCTGAGCCATGCCCTGACGAAGCCCGACTGCCACCAACTGAATATGGGCGCCCCCCACAGGACCCTGAAACAAATGAAATTGGGAATAACCTAACCCAGAACGAGGACCAAGACCAAGAGCGCGTCGGAAAAGGGCTCCCACAGGACGGAACGCCCGTCTCCAACCCTAACGCCAACGCCATTACCCAGGACTCCCTTGGAGTTCCTGACCAATCGCTGGATAGCGCGTCTCTAAACCCAAACGGTATGTGCAACGGAGAATCCCTCGCCGGCTCCCTGGGCGAGCAAGACCACGGCCGAGATGGGGAGTGCAGCCGTGAGGTTTCGGCTTGTGATATTGACGAACCACAGGAGGATCCTGTTGAACACCACAAGGATGAATCCATGTCCGTCGTTGACTGCCTTGACGAGGGGCCCCAAAACCATGCTGAAGAGCGCAGCGATGAACTCCCCGCTGCCCTTGCTAGCGAGCCACAAAAAGACCCTGTCCAAGAGTGCATCGATGAACCTTCTACTGGCCGTGACGTTGGCCTGGAACTACACAACAACGATAGCCTCCTTGCCAATGAGGTTCAACGAAATGCCCATATCCATGAGCGCAGCGATGAACTCTCCTCTGACAATGAGAGCGAGGAACAAAATGACTATGTCCAAGAGCATAACAATGAGCCCTCTTTTGGCCTTGATGTTAGAATGGACATCCACGACTACATGCAAGAATGGAACGATTGCTTCCTTTCCGACGAGGTTGGAGAGCAACAAAATGGCCATGTCCAAGAGCACATCAATGAACCCTCCTTTGCTGGCCATGTTATTGCCGGGGAGCTCCATGGCTGTGCCCAAGAGTGGAACGATGGGAAATTATTTGAAGAGCTGGGCAAGTTTGACAAGTGGATGGGCGACGAGGAGGAGAATCGGGAGGTGACAGAGCTCAATCGAGTACTAACTGAACCATTCACGTATGATTTGGACCATGAGGAAGAACTATATCAACAATTCACGTTTAATTTGAGTTGAGCAAAATAGGTTGAATTTCAAAGAATTTTGTTGCGAATTATGGAACATGCCTGGTCATGTTATTCCGCTGTTCATATCTGTTGTCTTGTCCAAGTTCAATGCTGTCACTTTCATGTATTTTGCCTGATGAATTACCATTGAGTGTTCCTCAACAACCACCGGAAAGTTAGATGTTTGTTTAGTTTGATGTTTGGTTTCCTTCACGGTATCCAAGTGTGAGCACGGTAATCAAAGACCCACGGTTTATTTTTGATTAGTCGTCGCCGGCGAGTGCAAATGATGTCGCCGACGAAGAAAGATTGTGACATTTATTTTGCACGCATCAACCCCAAGTTTTGCTCCCTTGCTCTCCATCACATTCACCTCAACCCATCAAATATCGCCCATCACAAAGCTGATCAAAGATTGCCGAACAAGACTCGATCAAACCATGACACCACCCATTGTCATGTCCCGTCCCCCGAGAAAAGTGGCCGACGAGGTGATCTTCAACGACCGGAAATACCACCCTCAGTATCCGCCGTCGGAACAGTTCGATGTCTTGACCATCACCCAGGCCTTGTTCAAGCTCGGGCGCAAGAAGGATACAAGTACAGATACCAAGATCAATGAGGCCAGCCTGCGCAACTTTGCCGCGATCTACCCCCGCTTGTACCAAGTCCCTCATAAATCGCAGGCCCGTTTCCGAGCCTGGATGAGCGAGAATGAAGAAACCATTCGGGGCTGGGATGTGGGTGACTTCTTCAAAACCCCGGCAGATGACGCCCGCGACCGCACGAAACCCAGGGAGCCCGGCTGCCCCGTGGAGGTGATGGAGGCTTGGAAGCGCGCCATCGAGGGAGAGGAACAGACGGACCAGATGCCTGTGAACCAAGAGCTACCGGCGAATGGTAGCGACAATGGCACCGATAATAACCAAGCCAGCAACAGCGGCAGTGGCGGCGGCAGTGGTGAGATCGCTCCGTTCATTGACCAGGGGTCCGTCTTTGACTGCGCAGTGCCACCCCCCGCGACTGGATACGCACAAGGTTACGAACAAGGATACCAGGGCGCAATGGCCCTCCCAGCTCTCGAGGCGTCTTTGGGCATGATCAAGGAGGCGGCCTCCCGACTAGAACAGCTATCCGACAGCTTCCACCTGGTGGACGGCGACGCGGTCAAGCAAGAGCTGCTGGCGCTCGCGGAGACGATCACCACCAACGTGGACGGCGCGATGCAAGCAGGGGGTATCATCTCTCAACCGATCGCCGGGGAAGCCGTCTCGGGGCGGGCTGGAAGGAAGCGGCGGCTCAGGTCACTCGCCGACGAGGGCGAAAACGAAAACGAAGACGAGGACAAGAGCCAACGGCGCATCAAAGCAAGGCGCCTACAATCGGACCCTGCCAGCCTCGAAACCGAGCATGGCCTCGCTGGCGAGCACGGGTCATCCGGCGGCGGCTCGAGCGGCGGTCCCATCGCCGACGCGTTCCAGAACGACCAGAGCAGCCCAGCAAAGGACGTGCCGCCGCCCCGAGTCGACCCCATGGAACTTCCCATCGACCCACGGCTGTTCCTGGACCCCGACCAGCTGCCCAACGAGTAATCTCTGGTTAGCGATGGTGAAGAGCGACACCACAGGAACACCGAAGTGTGCACTGCCGGGGCTGGCCACCGTGGGTGTTTTTCGTCTGGGTATTCAAGAGGGAATTGGCAGTGGCCATGAGGAGCACGTGATCCATTCGTGGTACCTGGTGGGGGATTTGTGCAGCACGCACACGACCAATAACTTGGTCGAAAAGAAGGGGACCTGGTGGACGGAAATGGGATGACAGCGCATCTCCATGAAGGAAGGACTCATGATCCGACGTACATGAGAGTAGGACACTGTCTAGCTGATCTGCCGCATCGGACTATACGACCGATCCATGACTACCCGCTTACCATATTAATAACTTGCCGCTGATGCTTCCCTAGAATATCTAGGTACCTATTCAATAATCCATATCTCACCCCAACCACACATTACACAACCCACCCCC